GAGATCAATTTTAGCTGCAGATATGTGTGGTTGAATTCTGATTCCAAGTGGTTGGACCAGGCTTGACATTTTAGGAAACAGGTTTTGTAGAGAGGGTTAAAACACAATTGTATGCTGGATTGGACTCATTTGAACGCAATTTTGTGATATACTGCAGTGAAAGTTTAATGCGGCGTTGTTCAAGGGAGGGTTCGTTAGCCTCCGCATATAGACTATCTACCGGAGAGTTCCTAAAGGCTCCCAGGCAGAGCCTCAGGCCTTCGTGGTGGATAGAGTCTATTTTTCTAAATTGCTTTTGCAGGCTCCACCATAGACAGTGAAGCCGTAATCTAGTTTAGAGCGCACCAAAGATCTGTACAAGTGAAGTAGGGTAGTCTGATCCCTCCCCACTCTGTATTTGAAACGACTTTTAGCAAGTCAAGATCTAGAGCCTTCAAACACTTTGTCTTCAAATATTTTATGTGTGGTAAGAATGTCAAGTGGCGGTCGAATATGAGTCCCAGGAATTTGGCCTCTTCTACTACCTTGATAGGGGTACCATCTAAGGATAGGTCTGGATCCTTGTGTGGTTTGTATTTACGACAAAAGTGAATACAATTTGTTTTGGATTTTGAAAACTGAAAGCCATTTTCGTTGGACCATTTTGGATTTTGTTAAGGCAGAGTTGAAGCTGCCTTTCTATTGCGTGCATGTCCTTACCACGACATGAAATATTGAATTCATCCACGAAAAGGGACCCATCAACACAGCTGTTCAAAACGTTAGCGAGGCTGTTAATTTTGATGCTAAAAAGTGTGACAGACAGGATGCTGCCTTGAGGGACGCCCTGATTTGGATGGAAATAATCAGACAATGTGGAACCCACCCGTACTTGAAATTGTCTGTTGCTTAAAACGGAGATATGAACTGAGGTAATCTGCCCCTCAATCCAAATTCATGTAAATCTTTTAAGATACCATGTTTCCACGTTGTATCATATGCTTTTCCAAGTCGAAAAAGATAGATACAGTATGTTGTTTGTTGACAATGGAATTTTTGATAAATGATTCCAGATGGTCAATGGTCAATGGTACTTTGGTTCTTTCGGAAGTCACTAAGGGGTCACTAAGGAGGTTATTGGCCTCCAAGTACCAGATTAATCGGTCTTCCGTGTGTTCCCACCTGTCTGGCGTGATGATGCCTACATGAAGGAGTCGGTACATGCTGTCGCACAACATGGCGGTCTTGTCGTCTTGTGGTCACCCTTGGTCTGCCAGGACGGGGGCGCTCGTTTGTGGTGTTGGTGGCCCGGAAACGTTGCTGCAGTCTGTAGATGGTCCGAACGTGACCTGAAAGTGATTGGCAACGGCTTGTGCAGTGTGGCCAGCTTCAAGTCTTCCTAGCGCCTGGCTCCTCTGAGCTGTCGTGAGAAGGGGCATCCTGCTGACGTTGTAATGTGAATGTTTCAACCAGGTTTGGGGCATTCGTCACCACTCGCCCCTTTCCGTAAACTCCAAGAAGACGCGTCCCCTCTCGATGCTTGTTATGTGCGAAAATACGACAAACCAATCAAAACGCGCGTAAATGAAAGCGGTGCTTTGATAAAAATAATCATGAAAAATATATATCGTCATATTGAAAGTACAAAGAACGTAGCTAATAGGATTTTGCTGCCTATTATAAAGTTTTTTAATACGAATTATGCGATTGACGGTGAGAGATTCAAATACACGCACGTGCGTTTGTTGAAATAACTGCTCTCATGGGTCCAACTAAGTGTATTTCTGACGATCTTGCGGGCTTGTTATGGAGATTGTACGTGCGCTTCGACCAATTTTAGGAAATGTAATTATAATCGCTACGAGTTTCAAAACAATAATATCGTATTTGTATGTAACTAAGCAACCTTAATCTTTAACATTGGGCTTATAGTTCATAGCTCTGGGGATATTATAGTCTGAGTGTTTTTGGGTCATTCATATTTTTTCAGCGAATCCATTTGAAATTCCAACCAGAGGTGTGGACAGCAAAGTTACATGAATGTTCAGTCTGAGAAATATTTTAAAGTCATTTTTTGAGTATCTGCTTTTGGATTTAATGTAGCTGAAATTTTGTGTGTGTATATTCAATAAAACAATTCCCATTTGTGATGATTAAACCCTATTAAGAAAATTAACATAATTGGAAATATAAGGTGAACCGCTGGTAATAATAACATTAGAATATGTCTTTAACAAATATGTTTTCTCTTTCTTTTAGTTGTATCAAAAAAGTTTAATTCTATAAAATAAATAAGTAAAAAAGCCCCAAAACAACAACCTAGCAATGTACATGTGCTTCCGTTATATTAAAAACATTAGAATCAAACAGTGTTAGAGTTATCGTTCTTGTTTAAAGTAGTTCTGCTGATGTTCATGCGCCAATATGAAATCCTTCCAGAGGGGCACGAGTCGCTATTCGGCTTGTCCCGGAATAACACGAGTGCGTCACGCTATTCGGCTTGTCCCGGAATAACACGAGTGCGTCACGAATGGGTTCGGGGGTGTATTTTATAGGGCTGGTACTTGGGAACTGCACGTGCAGCATGAGCTGCATGAAAACATGGAGAACACCGTACCATCTCCGAGATCAGGTTGCGTTTTCGAGACCATTTCCTGGGTTCAATTCTGTGTTTGGGAAGGAATGTCTTTGCTCAGGTAAAGTTGGAGATGTTGTCAAAAATATACAATCAAAACATAAAATGAGTTTACATTTATCCGTTTCTGCGAAGGAAAATTCCAAACTGACGTTTCTTTGCTGCTTAGTATATTAACGCAGAACAGTTGCTATTATGATGAAAATGAATTTATTTCCGTTTTGAGCTTCTACAGTTCATTTCCATAACTTTGATTTTAGGATAATAGATAAACAGTAAAATAATGTGAACATATTGTTGCATATTACAGTATCACTCAGGTGTCTGTGTATGGAAGGCGTTTCAGGTCGAAACCTGCTTTCACACGTTTACGAAAAGTGACTACCAGATTACGAACACTGATGGTTGGAAACACTGAAGTATTGCCGGTTTGAATGCTAAGAGAAACAGGGTGGATATTTCTTAGTTGCTGTCTTGAACCCAGGATCAAGTACTCTGTTTTCTTCATTGACTTTCCAGTAATTGAACTCATCCAGCGCCGTATGTCGTCAGTGCAATGCTTTCAATCTTGTAAGGTTGAGGGAGAGGTCAGTTATTTTGAATGAGATATAAAGCTGGTTGTCATCAGCATACAGATGAAATGCCATTGAGTGTTTTCTTTATAATGTCTCCTATGGTCAAAATGTACACAGAGCAAAGAAGGAGGAAAAACCGCACCCTAATGCACACCCCACTATTTGCCTGCTTGTCACAGAGTACATATTGAATTTTCTCCCACAGTGAACAATCAGAGAGATATGATTTGATCCACTGAAGTGCAGTGAATGAGTGAGTGAGTATATTTATTCGCCACCTTTTGCAATATTCCCGCCATTACCGACAGGGGACAATAGAAATAGGATTCACACATTGTATAATATATGGAATCCGACCACGACTAACCCATCGCGCCGATTGATTGGTGGATTAATTAATGGATAGAAATTAATTGATGATGAATAGGTGGATCAATGATGGATATATATATGGACGGATGGATGAATACTGAATGAAAAAATGGATGATGATAAAAATGAATGGATGATGAATGTGAATGAATGAATGAATGAATGGATGGGATGATGAATGGCTGAATGAATGAATGAATGGATGGATAAATGAATATATGAACTTATGGCTAAATGAAAGGATGGATGGATGCTTTCTTAAGAAATATGCCTGGATACACAGTATAAAACGCTCGGTAACTCACATTGTGTTTTCAAGCCTAAGCGTTCGATTTTCTTCTGATTGATATTTCAACACATGCGTGTGAACGATACAATATAGTGTCAGAAAAGTGTTTGATTTCTGTGTAAACCAATGAAACCGCATGCATTGTATTCAAACTTCCCATCTTCGATCTGCAGATCCTTCTTATCGAATGTGAATATTTGAAGTGGGCAACCTGTTGCCGCCAGTCTGGAGCAGCAGTCACAAGCCGTGACTTGAGGCTCTGTATGGGGGAGGAAACATGTCGGCTCGGACAGTGTTGCTTGAACATAGATACACACATAGTAATGATTGGGGGTATCTATAATGCATACCTATTTAGGTATCAGTAGATATCTATTATATGTATTACATGTACTCATTTAGGTATCAATAGATAATTCCGCCTTTTTATTCCAAATATGGGCTTGTATTACATGTACTCAGTTTGACGAGACCACTAGGCTACCCCGACCCCGAATCTTCTTCTTTCTGCATTATAAAAAACAGTAGAGTGAGTCTGGGTTTTACGCCGTTTTCCTTTCCTTTTTGACACGTGGGCAATATTCCAAGCAACATTACATCCGGACAGGATGAGTGTAGATGATTTATTCAAAATCAGTTTCAGCCAATGTAGGCAGACAGGGCTAGAACTATGAAGGCACCTATCCAGTCAGATATATGTTAATGAAGTTTCCTCTGAGTTATGTACCCTTGTGTTGAACGAAAATGTTCAGAAAACAGAAACGCCACACTGCTGGAATATAAATGATAATCGACCGAGGAGCAGTTGTGCAGTCATGTACATTTTATTCTGGTGTTTATATGAGCCGAATCACAACTACAGGTAAATATACACACCATCTTTTTAATGTATAAATGGGCTGTGGGGTAGCCTAGTTGTTGCACGTCTCACCGAAGACCGGGTTCGATTCCCTTCATAGGTGCAATGTGTGAAGCCCATTTCTGGCGTCCCCCGCCGTGATATTGCGGGGATATTGCTAAACGCGACGCAAAGCTTAACCCACTCACTCACTAACTAAATGCATGACACACAAAATACCCAATTAGGAATGGAGCACACATCTGTTAAGACCCTCACATTATTTTACATTTGTCGTTTATCATCACGAACGTGAGTCCACCGAGCCACCTCACCCTGGGACATCTGCAAAATGCACGTGGAAGCATGTGCAGTCATAGTGCTCACCCTCTTGGCCCGAGGGGGGTCCGACGTTGCTGATGATGCGTTTGCAAACCAAGACTGCCGCGTCGATGCGTTTCCAACACAATCGGACTTCAGCCCGGACGCGTACCAAGGGCATTGGTACACGGTGGCAATCAACCGTTACTGGATGGAAATTCCCTTCCTGACAAGCAGGTTCCCTCCCACAGACGTCCAGGCTGTCTACACTCTGGACGACGACGGCAACATCGGCATACAAACAGGTGAGGAAGACTGACTGTCGTGTTCAGAGGCGTGCATGTACCTAGCCTTGCAAAAGCTGTTGTGTATTATATCGTGTGACTCGTGTTAGGGTGTTAATACAGTGGTACTAGCAGTGGTAGTTGAAGCCCTGTAAGTCGTGGTCGCTATAGTAGGAGAATATGATAGTCTTTATAGTAGTTGCAGCTGCGAGAATAGTAGTACTACTAGTAGTAGTAGTAGTAGTGGTGGTACTAGTAGATGTCGTAGTAGTAGTTTTAGTAGCAGTAGTATTGGTAGTGGTAGTAGTTGTAGAAGTCGTAGTATCAGTAGTAGTTTTAGTAGTAGTAGAAGTAGTAGTAGTAGTAGTAGTAGTAGTAGTAGCAGTAGTAGAAGTAGTAGTAGTAGTAGTAGTAGTAGTAGCAGTAGTAGTAGTAGCAGTAGCAGAAGTAGTAGTAGTGGTAGTAGTAGTTGCAGTAGTAGTAGTAGTATAGTAGTAGTAGTAGTAGTAGTAGTAGTTTGCGGACCTCGTCTATGAATGTCTCGCTTGTATCCCACTAAATTCAGGGTAATGCCGCAGGCTGCAGTGTTGTGGTCTCTACATATTCTCCGGAAAGTTCTTGGTCGGTTCGATTACTCAGCTCGTCCTGGTAAAAGTCCCATTCGCTGTCTGGGCTACGTGTAAGAGGGTAAATGATTATCCGAACCCTCTCTGCTGCAATCATCTATTTTAATCTGTTAAACACGGGATTAGTGCTAGTAGTAGTAGTAGTAGTAGTAGTAATAGTAGTAGTAGGTGGAGGAGGCGATATAGTAGTTGTAGTAGTAGTAGGTGGTGGAGGCGGTGTAGTAGTAGTATAGTAGCAGTAGTGAGGTGGGGTGAAATTGGGTTTTACGTCGTGCTTGAGAATATGTCGCTCATATGACGACGTGCATGCATGTGTATATGTCTGTGCGGTTGCTTGTACTAGCCCAGACTTAAGCTGGTTTTATAGTGCTAGCCCACTGAAATACCATGACGCAGTTAAGCATGAATACCCCACTCAGACATATTATACTGACTCCGAGCCGACCAGTCCTTGTTGTACCCATTAATGCCGAGCGCCAGGCAGGGACCAACAAGTACCATATTTTAACGTCTTTTGGTATGACGCGGTCGGGGATCGAACCCGCGACATTCCGCTCTCCGGGCGGACGCTCTAACTACTACACCACGGTGGCGGTGTAGTATAGTAGTAGCGGTAGGAGGAGCAGCAGCAGCAGCACAAGAAGCAGCAGACACAGCCTAGCCCTGATAGTAGAAGTACCAATGACTGAATGTCTTGTGTTTTACTGTTTATTGGACAACAATAGGTTTTTTATCAAATTCGTACCGGAAGAAGCCCGTATCCCTTGAAATGGGTCATATTATTAGCTCATAGTCACAGTCACAGGGGTAATTCCATGAGGAGCTCAAAGGTTTATTTGGACCTCAAACGTTTATTTGGCTCTTAGCGCAGACACCATGTTCTGTTAGGGTGTGGCCCAGTTGGTCTAGAAGTGTAAAGGTTTGTTGATAGTTAAATATCACTGAAAATCTTGATTTGGGCGCAAATTTAATTGGCTCGTTATTTTGGTGGTACCGTTGTGTTTTGGTTATAAATACGGTCGAAAGCAAATTCAAATTTCAAATAGCTTTCACTTCATATCTATAGCACATTGTATGGTTTAGAAAAGGGGGTCACGTACACCCACCCACACCCACACCCTGCCCCAATGCATGATGATTGGTAATTACTGTTGAGTGAGTTTAGTTTTACGCCACTTTTAGCAATACTCCAGCAATATCACGTCGAGGGATACCAGAAATGGGCTTCACACATTGTCCCAATGTGGAAAAAAGAACCCGAGTCTTCAGCGTGACAAGCGAACGCTTTTTATTTTTTTTATAGGCTACCCCACCTCAGGATATATATACATATGGGATTTTTTACAGGCAGTTCGGGTGTCCTCGGATTTGGATGTTCGGGCATAAACGGACTGGCTGTAGCTCCGAACAAGGATTTCCCACAGAAGAACATTGTGACATTTCCTGGGACTCTGTTTGGGTGGTTCGTCGGCGCCAAACCTTACTGGGTTCTCCGCACAGACTACACAGGATTCGCTGTGGTGTATGCGTGTTGGGTAAAGTTGGACGACGGGACGTGCAAACCGGGTAAGGAGTTTGTGTGGACTCTGAACCGGAAACCGGAAGGACACACTCCCGAACAATGGCAGCAGATCAACGCCGTCATTAGAGACGTGTGTATTGACCCGCTGACGATGAAATCAATCGAACAGACTGGAAAATGTAATGTTCAACATAAGAACTTGCCCAAGGACGAAATCTAGTTTTGATAAAAGCAAGGGCCTGCTAGATTGACAGTGATTATTGCTAAGCCATGTGAGTCCAGGGCCCCGTTCCTCAAAGCGATCGTAGCGCTAAGGTGATCGTAACTCCCATACTTTAACATAGACTTACGACTGTCGTAGCGCTACGATCGCTTTGAGGAAAGGGGCCCAGGAACGTCCCTTTCGGAATATTTTATAAGCTATGTCAAAAACATATGAGGTAATGTTATTTGTGGAGACAGGATAATTATTTTCTTTGACTTTTGTGATGGGGAGGGTCTGAGGGGGGACAGCTGACGTCCGGATAAACGAGATATTTTTTATTTTAACATTTTGTCCACTGGCAAGTGTTTAGTAGGAAACACTGTCTAATGTATTGACAGAGGGGGCTGGGGGGTAGCTGTACTCTGTTCTCGACCTAGTACAACGTAACAGAAGATAGATAGATAGACATACATAGATGTATAGATAGATGTTGAGATAGTTGTTTATTTGAGTACGTGAGTGTTTGTGTGTGAGTGTTTTTGTGTGTGTGCGTGCGTGCGTACGTGCGTTCGTGTGTGTGTCACCACTGTACCTGAAAGGTAAAACGTTTCATTGGAATCACTTCACCAACGACGATTATTTCTGTTGACCGTGTGTGCATTTATCATGACAATTCACTGCGAATATACTCCATTTAGTCGACATTTATTTCAGATACATTTTGCATTATTTTGTAGAAACGCGCTTTTGCTGTTGTTTCAAATAAAAACATGCTAGAATAGAGCAGGGCTTGGTTTTTTGTTTGCTTTACTTTCGTTGATCCCGTTCGTCGGCTCTTTCGACAAACAAAGTCGCCTCTTAAGATTAGCATCGGTAGCTGAAGACCAATTCTAACTCAAATCGTCACGGGTTCATACACAGCCAACTATGGTGTAAACAGGGTATTAGCAGGAAACAAGTGTTATTGACATATCATAAATGAATGCACAGTAAAGAAGTGAACTGTTTTGTAGTTGCTGTCCTTTGTGCCAGCAAATGGTATACTGATATTCTATGTATGCATTTATCGGTATATCGTGCCTCACTATATTGTTATTTTATGTACGCTTCATCCCATTTGTTTCGTTTTTTTCATAGGATTGTCTGGTTCAGACGCGATTATTTACAGATCGCCGCTATATGGCTGGAATATTGCTGATTGCGGCGTTATTAAACAACAAACAAACCGTGAGGTTATTAAAGGATATTGCAAGATATTATTCTCTTTGTAATTTAAACGATATTGGAGCTGAATTTCACTTGCTGTTTATTTGCCCTATCTTGGTCCTAGAAAGGAAAAATATAAATCAACTATTACTGTGCACGCGGAGACCCAAACATGCACAAAATGAACCATCTTTTTCACTGTAATAAACTATGAACAATTAGGAAATTAGCAATAGTTTGCAAAAGAATAATGTTTCATTTAATATAAGTAACTCAGAAAAAAGATAAACAATAACGCATGAGTGTAACATTGTTTATTTAACTGATTAAATGCATGTACAAACGTAGTTTACTCTTGCAACCAAGTGATATGTATGCGTCACCATTTTGTGTATCATACATGTATGTAATATAAGTTGTACCTAATGATGTGCTTCATTGGGTATACCAGTTTCAGAGTGTGTATGGCAGATTGACGTATGGGTAACTGTTGACGGATACAGTGAGTGAGTTACGTTTTACGCCGCACTCAGCGATATTCCAGCTATATAGCGACGATCTGTAAACAATCGAGTCTGGACCAGACAATCCAGTGATCAACGGCATGAGCATCGCAATTGGGATACGATTACATATCTCAACCAAGTCAGCGAGCTTGGCCACTCAATCCCGTTACTCGCCTCTTGCGACAAGCATGGGTTACTGAAGATCAATTCTAACCCGGATATTCACGGGTTTAGTAATCAGGACAAAGCCACATGCAGAACCAGCTGGATCAAAGATCAGGGTCCCGTTTCACAAAGCTCTCGTTAGCCTAAGATCTCGTAACACTTTCTCGTAGCATTCGTACTTCCTATACTGTAACATTGACTTACGACAGTCGTAGCGCTACGAGAGCTTGTGAAACGGGGCCCAGATATATATTAATTTGGTACATCGTTTTCTTTTTACCATCACCAATGTTGGACAGAACAAGTAACATATTTATGAACGAAGAAAATGGCGTAGGCGTAAGACATCGCACAAAAAGCAATAACAGCCAATAAAATCAAAATAATTGAAGCATTTTGTAAAAGTCAAATTCATAGTTCAACACTATACGATATTAAATGAATAATGCTGCTAATGTTAAGATCTGGTATCTTTGTAGACTGGTTCCTGGATCTTCCAGTTCGTACCGCTTCTCTGCCTTCCCAATCTGTCGCAGGAACGACCGGGAACCAGTCTACCCAGTTTTCTCCATTGCATCCACCACTTTCTGCAACTTCCGGAATTCCATGTGCCACTGATTCCTTCTTCTGTACCTATCAATCACGTAACTACATGTTTCGTTATACTTTTTATAACTCCACTCCTCGGGGCGAGCGATGTTACAAATTTCTTCCCGTTTTTCTCCACACTGTTCTATGAATGCCCGGTACTCGCAAACTGTCGTCTGGTCCACCGTAGAGGACGCGAGAAAACCTCGAATATTCAGTTCAAGCCTCTGCCACCCGGCCCCTGCCTTGTTGTAGTCCCTCATCTTCCGTTTTAAACTCGGTAGGAGGTATTCTGCCGCCTGTGAATAGGCAACAGCGGCGGCAGAAGCACAGAGCAGTCCCACCATTCCCAGTTTTGTGACCTTTGACCCCAAACTCGTCATGGCCTGGGCGGCGGGGATGACCTTGGAGGCGGGCAAGGTAATGATTCCTGCGGCGATGCTTGAAAAGACGGACACGCGGAACTGGAGGTTGTCATAGTGACTGGACAACTCGTAGTTCATGATTGCCGAGTTCATGCAGCGGAACTCCATTTCTTTCAAGATGCGGATGCACTTCTTTTTAGCGGTCTTGTCATCCTGCTTGTACTGGATTTCCTCAAGGTCGTTGTTATCACTGAAACAGGAATATCACAGTTCCACGTATTCGCTCTATGTGTTTAAGTGAGTGAGTGAGTTTAGTTTTATGCCGCACTCAGCAATAGTCGAGCTATTTGGCGTCGGTGTGTAAATATTCGAGTCTGGACCAGACAATCCAGTGATCAACAACATGGGCATCGATCTACGCAATTGGGATACGATGACATCTGTCAACCAAGTCTGCGAGCCTGACGATCCGATCCCGTTAGTCGCCTCTTACAAGCATGGGAGTGAGTGAGTGAGTTGGGTTTTACGCTGCTTTTAGCAATATTCCAGCAAGATCAAGGCGGGGGACACCAGAAATGAGCTTCACACAATGTACCCATGTGGGGAATCGAACCCGAACCTTCGAACGCTTTAACGACTGTTCTACCTAATTAATCAACAACAAGCATGGGTTACGGAAGATCAATTCTAACCCAGATCTTCACGGGTTTTTAAAGAGGTCGCCTTCCGCCTTATCAATTTCCGCTGGCATGTCCCCCTGTGGGACTTGAGTGTGTGATTATGGGACTGTATTGAGAAGATATCTATTTTCGCATTGATATGATATGATATTTTCGGAATTGAATAGAATTTCTTTGGCTATTCTGTGTATACTGTAGTGAAGCTACCGACGTTTCAGTTTGTTCTCGCGTTTGCATTACTTCTCTTGACGAAATCTATGACAGATAGCGGATCTATCACCCGAGATGAAGCCCTATATCGAAAAGTAGCCTTCCTAAAGCCCTCTTAGATATTTGTCCATTGAGTCTGAAGTCCCATTCGTTGTGACATTCAGCACAAGGTCTTCCAAAGATCAATACAGAGGGTGACACTGCTTAAACAAGTCACACAAACATAAACCCAACCCAACTACTTTCAGAACCTATACCTAAACTTCTAACTATACTATCCACATAAAGAAACTGTGCATTGTCAAAATATTATCCCAGTTGATAAGTACGATAACAATGTCAAAGGTACATATAAACTTTAATGGAGGGATCATGAGACCATAACAAGTGGAAGAATTTCAATTGAAAAGTCAATCACAATGACGTCACGATTCCACAAGCGGGACAGGGGTCAAACGACCACAAGCTCAATAACGGGTATGTCCACCATCGGCATTGAGAACAGCAGTGCATCGACGACGCATAGAGAGCCTATCAAACGTGCAAGGAAGGCTTGTGGGATGTCACGCCAAATTCTCTCAAGTTCTGTTGCAAGGTCAAGGACGTTATCTGGCGGATGAGGAAGACGTATTTGGGACAGCTGAGTTCAGATATACTCTGAAAGACCCGCGAGCCCTATCAAACAACACAATGTGACTGCTGATCACCGGGATCCATATCCATAATTTAAAACTCCAGACATCCCGTCCGTCCGTCTGTCTGGTGGTCAGTCAGTATTCACTGCCTCATTGCAGACAATTCATCATACATACCAGAAAGCAAAGGCAGTGTATCCTGTCAGACTCGCCACGTGCATGGAGAGCCATCAGCGCCTGGAACTCTTGACCAAACACAGTCAATGATATTATCATTCTCTTCCCACAGAGGTTACTTCTAATACGTCCATATTTCCCGGTTCTGGTAAAAATCCCCTAGCGGCAAAAGGTCGCAACACGAATTATCTCCCTTCTTTCTATCCAATCAGAACACGTGTTACATCGACTGAGATCCAACTTGACTAATACAAGCAAACGTGGGGCCACAAATATCCCTCCTCTGCCGGGGACTGATGTTGATGTGACACACAAGACATTTAATGGCTAGCGTGTCCGTTGTCTGTTTGTCAACGAGGGCGATGAAGATCCGCCAATGATCCGCCGTTACATGACTGGGTTCTGTCTAGAAGAAACGTTTGTGCATCGCGCAGGAGAAGACGTCTAGTTTTCCCGAAGCATACGGAAATTGCCGAGGCCTTGCGAATGATCACTTTTGAAACAACGTCGCTGATTGCACAACCAAATCTGATTGCAACCAATCACGAATCCTGAACAGTCGCACCATGAAAGGGCCGTATTAGAACAGAGGTTCGTAGGAAGATATGACAAGTAACCTCTGTGGGAAGAGAATGTGATATTATATACGAAAACACAAACTTATCATTGGAAATAGATGGAACTGTTTTGGATTCCATCTCAAATAAGCATTAATCGAAATGAAAAACGAGACACAATGTGGAAGCTAGCTCAAGACAAGGCGGAGATGTGCTTTTCCCTTCAGCAAAGAGATAGAAAACAAAACCAAAGTCTCCGTGGACATAAATGACAAGCCAAATGGTTACGCCAGTAAGATTGGCAAATGCATATGGCGATGCACAATTCATCGCCATTCCAAATACTGCCATACTCGTACACAAAGGGAAGGTGAAGTAAACATATCACGCCGGTCACAAAAACACTATGACAAGGTATGCCCATACTGGAATCAACCTCAATCCTCTGCACACATGTTGGTTGAATGTCAACCCAGTGAGCCAGCCAGGGCTCAGTTATAATAGTGAGTGAGTATGGTTTTAAGCCGCGTTTAGCAATATTCCAGCAATATCGCGGTGGAGGATACAAGAAACTAAAAATGTAAAGTACCAGCTCCAATTGAATAAAAACAATGTAAGCATTTGCTCATTTTTTATATGAGAGAGTAAGTTTTTACGCCGCTTTTAGTAATATTCCAGAAATCAGCCTAAGTAAACTTAAGCTCAAGATTATTCGTTACACTGCTATGCCGAGTCTAACAAAACCTTGTGGAAGGTCGCGTCAGCTGACCTTTTCAATGGACCAATCAGAACACAGCTTACCAAATCGCGAAAGTTGACATTCGCACATACCTTTTGAACTTTAACCTCGAAAAAGTTTTGTACCCGAACGATTCCGAATGCTATTACGATTGCTTCCGAGTGATGCACATGGAGCGCGCCACAAGAGTGAGTTAACAGTTGCTGAGAATAGCGTTTTGTCAGTATTCAAGGATGTCAGCTTGCGGAAATATTAGCTAATGATAGCCATGTCAACAGAAACCCAAAAGCTTATATTCTGCAGGTCATATATCTGTGTTCAATGCGGGTTTCATTTGTTATGAGATTAGTGTTGGCGACCGGGGAAGAGAAAATCAATTTTGTAAGTCCCGCAAACCCTAAATAGTAGCCGTTGTCTGATTGGTTAAATCCGATCGGCCGTCTCGCGTTTGATTGGATGGTCATAGGTTGACGCGACATTCCACAAGGTTTAGTTATACTCAGCATAGCAGTGTAACGAATAATACTGAGCCTAAGTTTACTTAGACTGACTAAAAATGGGCTCCACACATTGCACCCATGTGATGAATCGAATCCGGGTCTTCGGCGTGACGATCGAACGCTTTATATTATCCACTAGGCTACCCCATCGCCCCTTCTCATTTACGAGTGAGTGAGTATGGTTTTACGCCGTTTTTAGCAATATTCCGGTAATATCACGGCGGGGTGCTCATTTACGAACCGAGGTAGCAACAATATTAAATAATACGAAATATTTATCGATCCGGGGGGAAAATACACTGAGCATACGTCTACTGATAAAATAGGAACTACTGTTTGATCCGTTCTCTGTCGTATAGATCTGTTAAAAACGAGATGCATTAGCGAAGGACAAAAAAATCTGTTTCTAAATGATTCGATTCTGAATTGTTCGCGAAGTATTCGAACGTATAAACAGAGCACAGAGAAATTATATTAGTTTATAAAAAATAGATATGACATTATATCAGTGTGAGTATAGAAATGTTATCAATACAAACGCAGAAATTGTATGAATACTAAAACTCCCAAAAGATATGTGCGCCCCACTGCGAGGCAGGTCAGCAGAAATAAATAGGGCGGAAATCGACCTCTTGAACACAACAACAACAACATCTGCTAGGGAAAAAGCATTACCGGGGCATCCGAGAATACTGACACAGTACACATGTTGTTGGACGAACATCTTGTCTCTGGTAGTTAAATAATTTGCAGAAAAGAAGTTCCAAAATTATATTTACAATGAGCCCAGGGACTTGCCTGAAACTGTAAGAATCTAGACTTGCCACATATTCTAGACTTGCATGTACTGCATATCTTTTTCAGGATCTGTATGAAAGACTTATTTTAACCTCTGATGGGGTCTACTCCCATTTGTGAGAACTCCCAATTGTGAGACTCCCAGTTATGAGACAGTGGAGTAGGTAACTAACACAGAAAACACACCATACTCCCCTTCCTGATAGAATGGATTAACCCTAGCTAATTACTGATTTGCTATGTAACTGAATCTTTTGGAGGTAACTTAATGAAACTTTATAAGATAAATTGATTAACATATTCCGGTAAATGTCCTTAAAAAATACACTTTTTGTGTAGGTAACTTCATGATGTTGCTCTTGTCGATATCAGCGTGAAAACGCCCTACACCATTTTCTCACTTGAAAAGAATTAATATCAATGTATTTTACACTACCCGTTATAACCTGGATACCATTTTGAACGGAAACAAGAATTTACATCTTGTGTAAACCAGCAGAAAATAGTTGAATCCGTCCACGATTACATCATCAAGACACAAATTTTCTCAGGAAAATGCTTAAATTAACTCAACAACCTTGAATCACATCCTCCATTTCATTTTATGTTGCATGGGAACTATGCCTCCTGTGGGTACTCTTCAACAACTGGGCTGATCCAGCTTTAATTGTGGGGATGGGGAAGCACCACCTGTGTGCACTGAACCATTAATTAATGTGTCTCACAACTGGGAGTTCTCACAAATGGGAGGACACCTCTGATGGATACAGACAAGCCAAAGGGAATGTACATAAACATGTGTCACCAATGTCTTAATGTAGGGCGTCGGAGTAGCCTATTGGTTAAAGCGTTCGCTCGTCACGCCGAAGACCCGGCATCGATTCCCCACATGGGTACAATGTGTGAAGCCGATTTCTGGTGTCCCCCGCCGTGATATTGCTGGAATATTGCTAAAACCAAAAACCAATAGCATGCACTGGTCACGCACTGTGACCCCACTGCTTTACAATACATGTTCATGTGTAAACAGTACCTTTAAACTGAATAGAATATTTTGCAAAATCTAGTTTAGAACAGTTGACTGAAGAAAGTGGCTACATTTACACTAGTGAGTCTAAACATTTGATGGGTAGTGTATTATGCAGAAAAGATTGTCAGCACGCATTTTGTCAAACCATATTCATTCATTCACACACTGTCTGAATATAAGGTCGCGGTTTGTATGCACATGCAGTTCCATGAATAGTCTGTCTCACAGTCCCTGAACCACATTAATTTCCCTACTGCCAAGCCCTCTCTGCAGTGCTAAAGCCCTAAATAAAGCAAGTCTAGATTTCCTCAGGTTCAGGATCTCTGGTCTCCCTGGGGCTCCTTTTCAATTTAAATGGGCTTGTTTGTTACTATCAAAATTATATATATTCAGAGACTAAGCCTTAGTCTAGTCCATGAACAGCAAGCCATGACGTGGGGTTTTTTTTTCGTTTTCCAAATGTGTAACATAAACTACCGGGCAAAACAAAGTACACATTGAAAACTGGATTTCACCTACCAATTACAAACACTACTTCGTTGAAACAGTCGATGAAACACCGCAAACTCAGGTCAATGATACGCTGATGCCGAATAAATACAAATGTTCATTGAACAGCTATGTTCTTGTTTGTTTCCACTTTCAAAAGTGGACCTGCGAAGATCCGGGTAAGGATTGGTCTTCAGTCACCCATGCTTGTCGTATAAGAAGCGACTAACGGGATCGGGTGGTCAGACTCGCTGACTTGGTTGAGACATGTCATCGTATCCCAATTGCGTAGATCAAAGACGTATATACGTCTTTGCGTAGATCGATGCTCATAATGTTGATCACTGGAGTGTCTGGCTCAGCCTCGATTATTTACAGACCGCTGGAATATTGCTGGAATATTGCTGGAATATTGCTGAGTGGGTTGTTAAACAACAAACAATCAAGCAATCAAACGTGGGTGGGTTGTTTGACGTGACTCATGATAAAACAGAACACGAGTACAGATAACATACTTTTCTTATCAGTCGAATGCGTAACGTCAAGAGATTCAAATAAGGGTGTACATCCGTCTTGGTATAATAAAAGAAATATCTACCGGACTGTTTTGTCAAAGCTAAAACACTGAAATGTCATAGGTACCTGTTGTATCACAGGGGATACATATTACCGTATCACCCCAATCGCCCTTATAATGTTCGCGTCTTGGTACAGACAGTCCGGTTATTTACAAACGGCGAGTTAGGCCAGTGATGCGGTAGCTGATGTCGTTGTAACTGTTGTCGTATCGACGGTGGTGTTTACCTTACCTGTTTGACATGCTGGTAGCGTCCCTTGTACACAGGAATTCTGTAATTCAGGTTTCCGAGATGCCCCGACCTACAACAGCGGGCCTGTGGTGTACTGGCTGTGTAGATTCAATGATTTACAACCCTTATGAAGTGCTTCCTCGTTTTCAATTCGAGAGATATGGAATACTGTTAGGGACATTCTCGGGCTTAGCGAAAAGGTTGATGATATCAAGACATATATCTACGTATATCTTACTTCCTCGCACCTTTTGACATAGTGTTTAGCTTGTTTCCAAACGTATGGAGCTCGACAGTCTTCCACAGGTCGCGTTGTCGCGTAGTCGCGTAGGCGAATATGCAGCTTGCAGTGCATGTCGTGTTGACAAATGTATCTTATCCTCAGACAAGGAGTGGCATACAAAAGAAGCTGTATAACGAGGTGATGTGACTAGGTTTGCAAGGACACTACGTAGACCGTTCTGAATCATTGTTTGGAAACAAAATCCAACAACCCTGAGCTTACTCGGTTCTTCTTGGCTTTTTCCGCAAGAGAAGTTTCTGCTCCAGCGCCCATATAGTAGGTGTACTATAATTACATGACATGACATTCCTCTTCTGAAATAAGAGTAGACGTGTCCAATGCAAGTCTTTTGGTGTTCTTTACATACTGTTTTGCGTCAGCATGAATATATATTACTACAAGTGAGGTGCACGGCAATGTAGCCTGATACAACAAAGTTACCGGTCTCCGGTTAACTTCGATTACAGCACGTGGAGGATAAATATGCAAATGTACCTAGTTTTTCATGTGTCAGGATATTATATCAGGGAAACATTTTAATCACATTTTTTCTTGTGAGAGTGGGCACACTACAAAAAGAAACAGATTAAAACACGTCTTCACCTTAAAGTCTGACATAAGAGCGCGGTGGGTTACCCTCATGGTTTAAGCGTTCGTTCGTCACGGCGAAGGCCCAGGTTCGATTCGACAAAGGTACAATGGAGTGCCCCGCCGTGATATTGCTGCAATATTGCTTAAAGTGGCGTAAACCTGAATTCATTCACTCACTCGCTCGCTCACATGAGACCATTGCAAGCAGTCTCTGACAATAGGAATATAATCCTCAGAAAAGGATCTTTTAATATACTACTAAGCCGCCTTTCCCGTCAGGTGAGACCACATGAGTTGACCGGATACAGTATATTGATTTTGTTCCAGCAGGAATATTGTCTGTCCATTAACCTGAATGGTTCTTGTAAGTCTAGACTTGCACAAGTCTCTAAGGTAATAATTTCAATGAAAATTTCTTTAAAAAAATATAGATTACATCTGCAGACTGTCATCCTTGTGCTGTCCGCTTATCAAGATTTGCCTCCTTAAAGGCTGGAATTACTGTTCATCCATGGCCTTAGCATTCAGTGCAGCCTTGGAGGATGGATATTGTAAGTACTGCGTTCCAATGTGTGGTGTGTGTCTATGTGTACCACAACTGTAAACAGTCAGTGATTTACACATACAGACACAGGAAGACAGGTAGGCAGGCAGACACGCACGCACGCACGCGCACGCACATATAACCTGACTACGACCTGACAAAGCCCAAGCAACAGCCGGACAGGAGACCGGAAAACAACACACCCATATCAACATACAAACATTTATAAAACTATGCTTCTAAAAAACACAAAAGGAGAGCAGATAGTTTGTACTTTGTGTTTTAGATAACTAAACTAATGCATTTCACATTAGGTCTTTGAATGGCATTAAGAAGGAAGTAAGGATATACGCCGAAACGTTGGTCATAGGTGGATCCAGATTGGGGGAAGGGGTGCAACCCAATCCTCTCTTCCCCCTCCCCCTCCCTTGTCCTGGAAGGTTTTAGATGTCCACTGGAACTCGCGCGAAACGGGTGAAAAAAACCACTATGCACCCCATCTCCCTTTCTCAAAACGCTGTATCCACCCCTGTTCCCCATAATAATCCGCCGGGGGGCGCCAGTGGTTAAAGCGTCACGCAGAAGACCCGGGTATTGGGTACAATGGTTGGGTGTCCCCGCCGCGATGTTGGGGAATATTGCTAAAAGCGGCGTAAAACCAAACTCAGTCAGTAATAATCCGCCATTTAGCTAAAGTATTGCTGGGTGCGGCGCAGAGCAACAAATCCTCATAATAAATAAGTTGGCATCCACTGTCTTCCTTATATTGATATAAACGTTAACTGTTTAGCTCCACTCATTCGGATGTTTCGCCTCGTGCGTGGTTTGCCCAATCAACACATCAACTGTACTACACCCAGTGTGGCAGGGTTTTGTATCAATCTTCAGCAGGTAGATTTGTAAGTCAACAGACAGTAGGCAATTTCATCATAACTCATATCTCAAAAAGAACATTAACGGACAACACCATTATGGCATGGAAACTCAAATCACTTTTGTACCACTTTGAACGATGTGATTTATGGCCTTTATATACAAAAGAAACCCTTCTTCTCCATGAGGGCATAATTTTTTATGTGTTTCGCGTAGCCACCAAATTCTGAACATCGGTCGGTCGAGAGAAAAACAAAACAAAACAAAAAACACAATAAAGACATTATCTGAATAATGTTCTTGATTCACATCTGTTGTAATTCTTATTACAATTTATCGCGTTCTTTCGACTTGTGGCTGCTACTGATTAAGAGATAACCATTTTATATGACGAGGCGGTACGGTTTTTTTGTTTTAGATTTTTTTTTTCTTTGTGTGTGGGGGGGTGGGGGTAGGGATGGGGCGTCATTAAAATTAGAAGGGTGGGTCAGGCGATGAGAAACACAGGAAATAAAAAAATGCTGTCCTTAAGGCAATTTCAGTGCCGCATCATATGCTACTCAAAATAAATAGAGAACACCCGATATTTGCAGCAGACTTATCCTACTCAGGACAAGTGAAGAACATCCGATATTTCCAGACGGTACATTGCAATACCTAGGAGCGATGTCTATTAAACATTGCCTTCTGAAAGAATCGTTTGTTCCTTAACTTCTTCTGAGTACTATATGTGTTCAGATATAACCTGGGGGCGGTGGGGTAGCCTAGTGGTTAAAGCGTTGGCTCGTCACGCTGAAGACCCGGGGTTCGATTCCCAACATGGCTATAATGTGCATGTGAAGCCCATTTCTGGTGTCCCCCGTCGTGATATTGCTGGAATATTGCTAAAAGCGGCGTAAAACTAAACTCAGTCAGTCAGTCAGTCAGATATAGCCTGATTTATTTGGAAATTATTGTCACGACTCTTCACGCGTTGGCGTGATGGTCATATTAAATTTCCAATTTCGCTTAAATCTGTGGATATTCTTAAATCATGCAAATGGACTTGTGAGAAACTTTCTACATTTCTTGAATGAAATTGGAAATGTCACTGGAAACAGAGGAGAAGCACTTTCCACCCCCTATCTCCATACCACATGTTAATGTTCCGCCTCTGAATCATAACACGTGATTTATTATGCTTGTTTTATGCATTATGACACACATGGAGCACGTGACACATACCGCTCCAAGATTGACTGATTGATTGTTGTTGTTTTACACCGCACTCAGCAATATTCCAGCTATATGGCTGTCGATCTGTAAATAATCGAGTCGGGACCAGACAATCCAGTGATAAACAGAATGAGCATCGATCTACGCAACTGGGATACGATGACATGTGCGACCAAGTCGCCTTTTAGGCTTTTACGACAAGCATGAGTTACTGAAGACCAATTCTAACCCAGATCTTCGCGAGTCACCAATCCAAGAAGGGGTTATGCCTTTTATACGCTAGAAACGATCAGTCTCTTCTTTGAAGGTAAAGCGATGTCCCCGCTCGACCACCATAGTTTACACAACAGCAATTCAACCTTTGATTTAGCAGATTAGAATATAGCTCCCTTACATACTCGCTGTACCCCGAAATTACAACGACACAATGAAGTGTTGCCACTGCTCACTGCGCACGAACCTTCATTTGATATTAACTTAACTTGTTGTTCAGACTTAATGTTCCTTAAATCATTCACTTATTTCTTCTTCTTCAGTTCCAAAGGGGCGTTGTTCGATTTATGTGAGCGACTAGATTTAGTTACATGTCTTGTGGTTGCATACAGATGGTTGCATAGGCTGGTTGGCTGGTTGGCTGGTTTGTTGTTTAACGCCGCACTCAGTTATATTCCAACTTTATGGTGCAGGTCTGTAAATAATCGAGTCTGGACCAGTCAATCCAGTGATCAACAGCATGAGCATCGATCTGCGCAATTGGGAACCGATGACATGTGTCAACCAAGTCAGCGAGCCTGACCACCCGATCCCGTCAGTCGCCTCTTACGACAAGCATGGGTTACTGAAGATCAATATTCTAACCCGGATCTTCACAGTCCAGACACATAATGAACTGTCCGCAAACGACGGTAGCCGTTGTTGAATGGTTTGCATTGACAACCTTCACTTGATGAAGGATTAGCTCTGAAACGCCGTATAAAGAATAAAGAAGTTGTTATCCACAAAGAAAGAAGTTGTTGTGTATTCGTTATTCACATTTTATATTTTTGCTCTTCCAAACCAACCCCACGTCCAAATAACTTCCTTCTTATCCCAATATGATGATACATTTAGCGAGTCTAAACAGCCATGCTAAAAACAAATGTTTCTGATTTTGTTTTTAAACACTAAACATGTAATTGTAAAAAGGGAAACAATACAAAAACCTAAACATACATCGACATATGCTCATGGAAACAAATAAGGGAACACATGAAAGTACAAGTGTTCCTTTATTCTTTTCCAGGTTTCTTCAGAGAATTACATTGCACTGTGGGGCGGTGGGGTAGCCTAGTGGTTAAAGCGTTGGCTCGTCACGCCAAAGACCGGGCTCGAATCCCCACACGGGTACAATGTGTGAAGCCCATGTCTGGTGTCCCCCGCCGTGATGTTGCTGGAATATTGCTAACAGCGGAGTAAAACCAAACTCAGTCAGTCAGTATATTGCACTGTGAGTGAAATTTTGGAAATAAATAAAGGAACACTTGTACTTTCATGTGTACAGTACAATGTCAGATTTATTGCATACACTGGTCTTTTGAGAACCATCAGGGAATCTTTAACAAAACATTGTACTGAACCACAAAAGAAATGTCGCACTGATATGGGTTTCTTAAAGTACACACTTTAATTAACTCTAATTAACAATCCTACCATTAAGATACCCCAAAGTCAGTATCGTGTGTGGCCTCTATGGGCATCGATGAAATCGTTGCATCGTCTGTACATGGAATGAATTAACCGGTCGATGAAGGCCATAGGCTATTGGGTCTATACTCTGCGAAATGCCTGATCGAGTCCAGCCGCAGCTGTCGGCCTTGGTTGGAGGCCATTCAGTCTTCTCTGAATCTCGTCCCAAAGGTGTTCTAATCGACTTAAATTCGGACTGAGTGCAGGCTATTGTATTGTTTGGATGCCATGTTGTCTTAAGAAGTCCAGTGTTGCTCTGGCAGTGTGGGCACGACCGTTGTCTTGCTGGAAGATGTGATTTATGTAACGTCCAAAATGTGCTACAACGTGGGGTCTTATGATTTAATCAATATAGCGAACAGCTGTCATGTCATTTCCTCATTCTGGACCAAGCTTCTGGAACACCACGGTGTCAACTAACTGTTCAGACCGATTGCACCCCACACTATGATGCTTGGACCACCCCACGAGTCTCTTTCCACAATACACTCATTGGAAAACATTTCACCACGCCCTCGCCATACTCTCACTCTGCCATCGACTCTCGAAACACAATATCGGCTTTCATGAGATAACAGCACAGTTCTCCATTGTGGACAACCTCAATTTCGATGCTGAGTTGCTCATTTTTGTCTGTTTTGGCGGTGATGAGCGGTGAGGACAGGACTACGATATGATCTGTGACAGCAGAGGTTTCTTCCGCGCAAACGTCGACGCACTGTATCGGCACTGATGGGTCTGTTTTGAGTCAGAAATGGTCTGGCGTGCTGTTTCCGTCGCTCTGGAGAAACGATCCTGCAGATGGTTGCGCACAGCCTGTCATTCTTGACGTTGTGATGTAACTGAAGGTCGCCCACTGCGTTGACGGTCTTACATGCTCTTAGTGACCTGATACCACTCCTGCTGTCCTAACATGAACATTAAAATGACTGGCTACCCTCCGTGCAGTCTGGACAACTTGCAATCGTCCCACGACTTGGTTCCTCTGATCTCTCGTAAGACGTGGCATGGTGGTTGTGTCAAAACAAAAATGATTTCTGGCGAGCTTGGGACTCGCTTTCATTGGTAGGGTTGTCACGACATGCACGTGCATTTTCATTTTCACGAATGTCATACGGAACCTTTTACCATGTCTGCCTTTTTCGGTGCGTTTGGTCGATACGCGTTTTCATCAGAAAACAAACTGATGTTGGTAATAACTGTAAATTTGGATTGAAACACATGTAAAGAAAACGGTACAAACATAATAAAAACACCACCTTGCCATAACAAAATTTTGCATTTAGTTTTGCAAAGCGACGTTTCTTTTGTGGTCCAGTATATATATATATGTAAAAAAATGTTTAAAACTTATGTTTCTCTCTCAACTGATTATTTTTACATAAGTATGCATCATGATCAAATTTACATGAAGATGTAAATAGTTTATGACTGGATGATAACATACTTATTATTTTTGTCGGATTTGATTTTAGCCACGGACAGAGAAAAGTCTCACTACCATAACAACCTAGAATCTAGAAACGTGAAATTGAAACTTGTCGTGAGCTCAGGCCCTGTTTTTTTCTGTGGATCTACACTGTTAAATGTTGTTAGAAAGTTCAACTGGCAGGATTTCATTTTCTTTCAATAAGTTATAGGCACTTGAGAAGTAATTACCAAATTACCACCAGATAATATCAGCCATCAAATTAATTTTTCGTTTCGCTTCGGTTTGAACTTTCTAAATGAGTGCTCATTCCACAAAATTATAAATGAATGATAGACTGGTATATCTGTCCATCATCCATTTTTAACCATCAAATGTATATTTTCCTCAAATAATTATGGAGAAGCTTGACTGTCTTATCGCTTTTATCTTATGAAATAGAATTTTAAAATAAAATCCTTAAGGTTCAATAAAACGTAATAACTGCTCCCATATATTTACTTCCGGTTCAAGTTTGATCGCGTTATCCAAATTAAAGGGAAAACTTTTTAAAATGCGTTGAATCAACGCAACTTTTTTTCAAAGAGACGTTCGTCATCTATTGTAAGTAAGTTGTTTTCATTATCTTAAAAAGACAACTTCATGTGTATCCAACACAGCCGATTAGAAGTTGTCACGACAGCGAAGTGGCAGTGAATCAACAGGCTGGGCTGGTGAAGTTGTGTTGTCAATATTGTCAATAAACACAACACTGCTAAGCTAGGTCCGTATTTAACATTGTTATCGTATCACAGTTAAATCCAATTTTTGGTGAGACCTTTTGCTTCGAAATAACCCATTATGTTGACACCTCAACATTCACGTGAAAACAGACAGCTTGAAATACAGATCGATGCAACGATGGGATTGGGTGTCCCGCTGTAAAACATGACAAACTCATTGAACTGTATGAGTTTTTAATATTGACGAAAATATTTTGGTGTTCTATCGGTTAAAATAGCTTTCAATTACTTGGTCGTTCAGAGCTTTTGATTAATGATAATAATAATCATAATAATAATGGCCATTTATATAGTGCCTGCTTCCCCACACCTGTGCATGCTCGTCAAAGCACTAACAGTAACACATTGTTACACTGGAAAACCAAAGCTGCGTGTTAGGAGCTAGAAGGTTATAGTCACATGACTTATCCCACCGGGCACCCATTTTTCTGCTGGGTGAACAGAGGCAATTTTTAACAAACTGACTTGCTTAAGATGAGACCACATGTATCTCATGCACTTTGTTGTGGGGCAGGACTGAAGTCCAAGAAGCTCTCAGGAGTCAAACTGCTAAACACAATCAGCAATCAAAGGACTCTCCTCGCCAAATGTTGCTTATCTTCAACAGATTTGTGACCTGATTATTCTTTGGTTATTTCAATTAACTAGAATTTGAACACCCCTCAATGAGCAAGGAAGCATTCCAATTTGCAGACATAGCAAGTTAGAAACAGGCCTTTCAACATGTTCAAACAATATATCATGCTCAGCTGCTGTGTCAGGGTTTATGATAACCAACAAAATAAGACTGAGTAATGATTACTTTTATCATGTTAACAATATTAACAAGTGTTCAAAATTTATCATCATAAATGTAAAATGGACGTTGGCATAAGCATTATGTTAAAAGCTGAAATTTTGGAGGTCCCCCGAATTCAGTTACTTCAGGAGTAAATCAAAAGGACTTCACGACTCAAATAGTGTTCACTTTTCACATTATTAACTACTTGGATACAATGTCTCAAATTGGGACTTCTGACTCACATTCGTGCTTAGTTTTGACGCTTGGCAAAAAATATCTCGAATTCAGACATATTATTTTCATAAATACAATGTCTAGATATTCCTGTCATGACATCATGCAGGAACAATATAGTCCCCATTTACTCTGATATTATCAACCTCCTCACAACCCAAATGTTTGAGGTTATATGTATGGCCCCTGCAGTCAAATACACTGGAGAAGCAAAGATGTACTGTACTTTACTGTACTGTACTGTACTGTACTACAAAACAATAAACAGAAAAGGCAACATTGATTGAGGATACCATGTACCCAGACATTATTTTCTCTGTGCTGCTCTTTTCACAGACTTAAGATCATTGCCCAAGCTGGACATTTATGTTGTAATCTCTAGTTTTTCTTTTCGCCAGATGGCAAAATGCACAAGCTTTTTGCTCAAGTCCTTAACCAGAAGGATTTGTCAAAAGCAGGGGAGCTCTTCTCCTTGGAGGATAAGGACATAGAAGCAGACCTCTCTGATATTATCGACCGCATACATGATATCGCTGATACTACCGACTATGACAGTAACGACAATGATCAGAGTGTGGTGGAGATCTGCATCACCAGAATCACTACAGCCATCAGGTAAGCCAGTATAACCATCGAATATTACTAAATTATTAGCATGATTACACAGGTCTGCAATACATTATTTGAACACTTTCATTTTTTATGTGATATGTTACCATGGTTACATGAAAAATTAAATGGTCTGAAAGCATATGAATAAAAACTGAAACTGTTCAACAACCAGCTTATGCAAATTGTTTTGTGTTTTCATGGCTACTGTCACCTAAACATGCTAATGCTAATGTGATGACACAATGGTGATGTAGCTGTTTTCAAAATTTCATTTGATCATGGTGTTTTACAAAGCCTAAGTCAATCACTTAACTGTTTGTTTCTCCTATTAAAACAGAGAGACGTCTAGCATAGAGAAGCATGTCAAGTCCCTGGTGCGTCTCCTGGAGATGTGTCATACACACAACCTCATCCCAGCCAAGAAGGAAGAAGACCCTCCCCATGTCAAGATAGCCTCCGATGTCATGAGTTGTCTCTTCATGGTAGGAGTAGTTCTGTGCTATGGTGGAAGTTAGGCATGAAGGTCAGGGTGACCTGTGGTAAACTGAAAGATGTAGGGGATCTCGCTGGGGGCAAATTTGTGATGTATTCAGATAACCCCAAATGTAAAATTGAGTCCAATAAGTTCTGACAACAAACAGAAAAAATTACAATTGAGTTTAATTTGTTCTGATAACTACCCCAAATATACAACTCAGTCTGATAGGTTCTGATAACTACCCCATATATACAACTCAGTCTGATAGATTCTGATAACTACCCCAAATATACAACTCAGTCTGATAGATTCTGATAACTACCCCAAATATACAACTCAGTCTGATAGGTTCTGATAACTACCCCAAATATACAACTCAGTCTGATAGATTCTGATAACTACCCCAAATATACAACTCAGTCTGATAGGTTCTGATAACTACCCCAAATATACAACTCAGTCTGATAGGTTCTGATAACTACCCCAAATATACAACTCAGTCTGATAGGTTCTGATAACTACCCCAAATATACAACTCAGTCTGATAGATTCTGATAACTACCCCAAATATACAACTCAGTCTGATAGGTTCTGATAACTACCCCAAATATACAACTCAGTCTGATAGATTCTGATAACTACCCCAAATATACAACTCAGTCTGATAGGTTCTGATAACTACCCCAAATATGCAACTCAGTCTGATAGATTCTGATAACTTCCCCAAATATACAACTCAGTCTGATAGGTTCTGATAACTACCCCAAATATACAACTCAGTCTGATAGATTCTGATAACTACCCCAAATATACAACTCAGTCTGATAGGTTCTGATAACTACCCCAAATATACAACTCAGTCTGATAGGTTCTGATAACTACCCCAAATATACAACTCAGTCTGATAGGTTCTGATAACAACCCAAATATACAACTCAGTCGGATAGGTTCTGATAACTACCTCAAATATACAACTCAGTCGGATAGGTTCTGATAACTACCCCAAATATACAACTCAGTCGGATAGGTTCTGATAACTACCCCAAATATACAACTCAGTCGGATAGGTTCTGATAACAACCCAAATATACAACTCAGTCGGATAGGTTCTGATAACTACCCCAAATATACAACTCAGTCTGATAGGTTCTGATAACAACCCAAATATACAACTCAGTCTGATAGGTTCTGATAACTACCCCAAATATACAACTCAGTCTGATAGGTTCTGATAACTACCCCAGATATACAACTCAGTCTGATAGGTTCTGATAACTACCCCAAATATACAACTCAGTCTGATAGGTTCTGATACCAACCCAAATGGAGACTGATATCCTCTCATAACCCGGATTTGGACATGGTGACCAGGGGTGGAAATAACCCATTGCCCGACGTCCGAGTCCAGTGCATTTTTCTGTCGGGCAAGCAAATTTGTATATCACACTGTACCAGTGTCCAGTTGACTTTCCAATGTTAATTATGTTATATAACAAGTTTTATGGATAACAACTTCTTTATTTTGGTGAGTGCGACGTTTCGATACAGATTCTTGTACCGTTGTCAAGCAAGAGTGATACATGAAGTGTAGGAGCTGCATATATATACTGTATATAACAATGAAACAACATAATAGACAAAGGAAACAACATAATTGCCATGATTGGCTAAGCAGTAAGCTGATGAAGCCAGTAAGTACATAAAGGATAGTGAATGGAAGCCAGAGATGTAGTTACAATGAGATGTTTATACAATGGATGCGATGTTTATACAATAGACTGGGCTTGGTGGAGGAGTGGATCATAAGCAGATGGAATGAAGTATCCTTGGTCACGGTTGATGGTAGGCTTGTGGCGTTTGATGTGAATGGCTTCTGTGAGCTTGCGTTTAGTGAAGTCCGTTTGGTTGTTGGCGAGAATGGTGATGTCGGACCACTCTATTTGATGATTGGGGTTGGCTTTGATGTGGTCAGAGATAGCTGATTTGGTGTCGGAATTAGCAACAGAGGTGCGATGTTCTCTCTCCATCGATTTGTGACCACTTTCCAACTCTTACCATTGATGTCTGTTTCAGCACTACAGCAAGGAGAGTGTGATGATTCTAGCTATCCCAGCTGTCGTCCAGTTCCTCGACTGTGAGAATAAAGACCTCTCACGGAATGTGTCCAGCTATCTCTCCCTTGCCACAATCGACAATGCTGACCTCTTGGCCAAACACATGGCTCTCATCGTTGCCAGTGTTCTGCAGGGTAGGTAAATGAAGTGTCTTACTGAGTAGCCATAGTGTCATACTTGATAGCTGCACTGTCGAGTGGGGTATGTGTAGTGTCCGGTGGTGAGGTAGCTGTAGTGTCGTTGGTGGTGTTCTGCAGGGTAGGTAGCTGCAGTGTCTTACTGAGTAGCCATAGTGTCATACTTGATAGCTTCACTGTTGAGTGGGGTATGTGTAGTGTCCGGTGGTGAGGTAGCTGCAGTGTCTTACTGAGTAGCCATAGTGTCATACTTGATAGCTGCAGTGTCCAGTGAGGTGTCCTCAGGGGTAGGTAGCTGTAGTGTCATGAATGATAGCTGCAGTGTCCAGTTGAGTGCAGTGTCCAGTGGAGTGTCCTGATGGATAGGTAGCTGAAGTGTCCAGTTGATAGCTGCAGTGTCCAGTGGGGTGTCCTGAGGGGTAGGTAGCTGTAGTGTCCTGCATAATAGTGTGCAGTGGGGTGTCCAGTCTTGACTGATGGATAGGTAGCTGTAGTGTCAAAGCTTGATATCTGCAGTGTCCAGTGGGGTGTCCTGAGGGGTAGGTAGCTGTAGTGTCAGCATGATAGCTGCAGTGTGCAGTAGTGTGTCCTGAGGGGTAGGTAGCTGTAGTGTCATGCTTGGTAGCTGCAGTGTCCAGTGGGGTGTCCTGAGGGGTAGGTTAGCTGTAGTGTAAAGCTTGATATCTGCAGTGTCCAGTGGGGTGTCCTGAGGGGTAGGTAGCTGTAGTGTTGTGCTTGATAGCTGCAGTGTCCAGTGGGGTGTCCTGAGGGGTAGTCAGCTGTAGTGTCCTGCTTGATAGCTGCAGTGTCCAGTGGGGTGTCCTGAGGGGTAGGTAGCTGTAGTGTCCTGCTTGATAGCTGCAGTGTCCAGTGGGGTGTCCTGAGGGGTAGGTAGCTGTAGTGTCCTGCTTGATAGCTGCAGTGTCCAGTGGGGTGTCCTGAGGGTAGGTAGCTGTAGTGTCCTGCTTGATAGCTGCAGTGTCCAGTGGGGTGTCCTGAGGGGTAGGTAGCTGTAGTGTCAGCTTGATAGCTGCAGTGTCCAGTGGGGTGTCCTGAGGGGTAGGTAGCTGTAGTGTCCTGCTTGATAGCTGCAGTGTCCAGTGGGGTGTCCTGAGGGGTAGGTAGCTGTAGTGTCATGCTTGATAGCTGCAGTGTCCAGTGGGGTGTCCTGAGGGGTAGGTAGCTGTAGTGTGAGCATGATAGCTGCAGTGTCCAGTGGGGTAGGAAGGCTAGACTGCAAGTGTCCAAGTGGGGGTGCCGGAGTCAGCTGAAGTGTCCTGCATAACCCAGTGAGGGGCTGTCCCTGAGTGGCAAGGAACGGTATCCAGTCCTGAGGGGTAGAAGGAGCTGTAATGTTTCCATGGAACCCTGAGGGTGGAAAAGGTAGCTGAGTGTCCTGCTTGAACCCTGTGAGGTGTGCAGTGCTGTGTCCTGAGGGGTAGAGTAGCCTGTCATGTGGTAGGTAGTGTGCAGTGGTGGAAACGAAGTGCGTGGCTGAAGGAAACCCAGTGCCCAGTGGAACGGAAGGAGTGCAGAACTGTAGTGTAGGTGCTTGATAGGAGTGTCCTGGAGTGGCCTCAGGAAGAAGCCTTCCAGTGTCATGCAGGAAGGCTGTAGTATCCAAATGGAGGACCCATCCAGGCCCCATGTACAGTGGCCCTGGTGGCCCACTGGGGTGTCCTCAGGGGCAACCCAACTGCAAGTGTCACCCAGTGGAGGGGTAGGAAGTGTCCCCAGTGACCAGTGGGGTGTCCTGAAGGTAGGAGCAGGCCAAGTGCATGACACTGTAGTGTCCAGTGGGACGACCCAGGAAGTGTCCCCATTGTGTCAGTGGGGTGTCTTGAGGGTGGAAGTAACCCAGTAATGGCCCCTGAGGGGTAGAAAGTGTCCCAGTGTCCAGTGGGGTGTCCTGGTAGGTAAGGCCAGTGAACCCCAGTCTTGGTGTCCTGAGGGGTAGGTAACGGATGGCTGTAGTGCCCAGTGAGAGATTGTCCGGTAGCTGTAGTGTCTTTCTTGATGACTATAGTGGCCCCGAGAGGCAGGTAGCTGTAGTGTCATGCTTGATAACTGTAATTGTCAGTGAGGTGTCCAGTGGCCAGGTAACAACCGATGGCTGTGAGGTGTCCACGGAGGATAGTGGCAGTGGGTGTCCTGAGGGTAGGAAATAGCTGTAGGTCCAGTGGGGTGTCTTGAGGGGGTGTAGCTGTAGTGTCCCCTGATAGCTGCAGTGTCCAGGTCCTAGGGGTAACCCAGCTGCAGTGTCAGGAAACCAGTGGTTAAAACATTAGTTGATCCCACCCTGTTTTAGATTCCCCATGGGTACAATGGGTGAAGCCCATGCCAGTGCACCATGGTGCTGGAATATTGGTGACGTGAAGCCAACGCTTTAACCATTAGGCTACCCCACCGCCCCTCACGTTGTGGAATATTTCCTGGGTTTATGCTCTGTGAACAACTAAACAGCTAGTAAATACTCCTATCCTAACCAATTATTGTTGACCCCAGTGGTAGATATTGAAATATTTCATTGGAATATGAAGTAGGAACTCTGTATATGATGACTCATGTGCTGAATTTTGAGGACCAAATAAAGCAGTCTGTAGAAATGATTGTACTCTTCAGTGTCTATAATATGCTTTCTCTTTTATTCTTAGCTTTTAGAGGAACATGTTCTCAAATTCTGTGAGCTGTTCCCAAGCAACATGTTGGGAGCTGTGTTGATGATCATGTTTGTTGACATGGCAACTGACAACCCGAATACATTTGTTGACCATCGTGCAAAGCTGGAGGATGTCGCAGATCAGCAGCCGATACTGGTGCCACAGGTTGCCCAGATCATGGGCGCCCTCGGCACTGTCAGTCAGGTCAGTTGTGGGGAATATGAAGGAATAGACAATTCTGGTGCCACAGATGACCCAGATCATGGGCGCAATCTGCACCTTCAGTAAGGTCAGTTGTGGGGAATATGAAGGAATAGACAATTCTGGTGCCACAGATGACCCAGATCATGGGTGCCCTCAGCACCGTTAGTCAGGTCAATCTGGGGAATATGAAGGAATAGACAATATTGGTGCCACGGATGACCCAGATCATGGGCGCCATCTGCACCTTCAGTTAGGTCAGTTGTGGGGAATATCAAGCAGTAGAAGATACTGGTGCCACAGGTTGCCCAGATCCTGGGTGCCCTCGGCACCGTCAGTCGGGTCAGTAGTGGAATGTATCCAGCAATAGATAATACTGGTGCCACAGATGACCCAGATCATGGGTGACATCGGCACCGTCAGTCAGGTCAGTAGTGGGGAATATGAAGCAGTAGTCAATACTGGTGCCACAGGTTGCCCAGATCATGGGTGCCATCGACACTGTTATCAGTGATACGCAAATTACTTCTATAGATTATGACATTGTTAGCATGAATTGTTATTTTTCTTCCACATCTGGATAATAAAATTTGCTGCAGACTTGGTTCTGAATATTGATCTCTAGGCAGGTCTAGATTGACTTCTGGCAGAACTACATAGCATGTCACTCTGTAGGGATATTTGTTGTCATTAAAAAAGTATGCCCATTTCTGCATCAGAGGTCTTATTATCAACCATATGAAATCTGACTTTGGTCTTCTGTTTTATGTCCAGACAGAGGCCAAGAAGTCGATGAACTATCTCGTGAGTAGGTTAACGACAACAGAGCCAGCCCTATTACCCACAATCCTCCAGGAGATACGAGGTATTGGAATGAACCACAACACCCTCTTGGCGGACAACGTGGAAGAAATTGGAAAACTGGCATCCAGTGGCTCCAGAGCGGTTCGACTGTTTGTTCAACAAATAAAAGAAGATCTCAAGAAATAGTAGGTGTTCTTTATCTTTGTTTGATGATATTTTATTGCCTTTCTTTCATTTTTTGATTTAATGATGAAATTAATTTTGAGATGAAGTAAAACTTGCAAAGTCAGGTTTGGACAATAGTTGTTGAAGGATGCTACTCAAATGAAAATAAAAAGCTGAATTCTTCCTTATAACATTTTTATCCCCCCAGCATGTAATGCGGGGGGATATAGTCAAAGCCACGTCCGTCCACCTTGGCCGTCCATAGTCATTTTGTTTCCGGAGCATAACTCAAATACCGTTCAATATTTTTCACCCAAAATTGGTAGATATATCAAACAGAACCAAAAGTGGTGCCTTTTGCTATTTACAGATTTTGGTCATTTTTAATTTTCATGGTTTCCATGGAAATGTTTTGGACTTATCTCAAAAGGGGGGGGGGTGGGTTTCGTTTGCGGAGCACAACTTGAAAACCATTCAATATCTTTCAACAGAACTTAACAGATATCTGAGACAGATCCTGAAGTGGTGCCATTTGGTATTTGTCATTTTTAACTTACCTTACCATAGGTCTTATGCATATTACCTCAAGCTCCGCTTAAAAGAGATCAGACAGTCGTTGATTCACCATTCTCTAGAATGGTTGCCTCAAGTATCAACGAGTGTACAGGAACGGAAGTGACATGGTCTCCACTCCCGAGCAAAGCGCGGTCTATCCAAAAATCACTTTTACTTCAAGTGTACTGCGTGTCAGACGTTTTTTTATTTCTGTGTGTTTACGTATTATTTACGTTTCACATTTTTCGTGTGTTACAGCCTTTGTGTGCATGACCCGGCAGTTTTGCTGTATCTGCAAGGTGCAGAAGTCTGCCAAGGATCCCCACCCTTGGTGCCCAGACTGCGCTACTGTTGCCTGTTCTCTGCTGAGCGCTGTCATTTTTGTACTCCGTTGTCCGCAGCCGATTTTAAGGCTTATACTGCCGCCAAGAAGAAACAGTTATCGCAACCCAAGAGGAAGATGTCTTCACCTGATTCTTCTTTGGGGTCCCGATCTTCTCCTCCCGCCCCCAGCCGTGCCGATTCGTCCTACTTCAGTAGGCGGGAGATTGGGGATCTTCTGGAGTCCTACTCCTAGGAGATCCGTTTGTGACCAACATTCTCAAGACCGGTTACAAGCTGCCAATCGTCGTGTCGCCGCCAGACAAACAGTTACTGCTAGCAGACAACATTCAGACTCTGTTAGACAAAGAAGCTATAGAGACAGTGCTAGACCCCCAACAGCCCCCGGGGTTCTACTCACCCATCTTCCTGGTTCCCAAGAAAGACTCAGTGAAAATGCGCATGATTCACAACATGGCAGTTTTCAACCACCTTTACCTTTCGGGGCTGCCTCACTTCCGGATGGTGTCCCTGGAACAGCTTCGTGCCAAGCTTGCGCCCAGGGTCTGGCTGGCCAGCCTCAACCTCCAGGATGCCTACCTGCATGTGCCCATTTACCATCATCACAGGAAGAACCTGAGGTTTATTTTCAAAGTGTCCCACTACCAATGGAAAGTGCTTCTGTTTGGAATTTCCATGTCCCCATGGCTTTTTACTTGGATTACCTCGCCGATCACCCGGTTCCTCCATCTCAGGGGCATAGATTTCGACCCTTATATAGACGACTGTATCATGAACCGCCTCGACCTCAGTTGCTTCGCAAACAGATGAACTTTTCCATTCGTCTCCTTGAGCAACTGGGGTGGATTATCAACACCGACAAGTCCCACCTGGAGCCGTCCCAGAAACTGATGTTCATAGGAGGCTTGTTCCTGACACACTGCGACCTTGTCAGGATTCCACAGAATCGCTGAAGGAAAATTGTCAGTTTCGCCTGCCGAGGTCTGTCCCAACCTCTCACGCTCAGGGAGTGGCAGTCCCTCTTAGGTCTCCTCACCTCAGCCCAGAAGTTGATGCTCAGAGGTCGTCTGATGCTCCGGCCGTTACAGCGCTTCCTCTTGCCTTACATCAGGGAGACGACCTCCAGTCGAGGTTCCTTCTGGCTCTGCATCTCCACGCTTACCTCCGCTGGTGGACTGTAGTGTCGAACATCTGCGTAGGAGTCTCCTTGACAGAGTTTGTTCACGATCACAAACTTTACGTAGACGCCTCTCTTCAGGGCTGTGGTCCGATGCCGAGCTAGGCTGGCATATCAACAACTTGCAGCTCCAAGCAGTCATTCTAGCGGTTCAACACTGGACGCCTCTGCTGCAGAACACCAGGCTCTTGATAGCATCGGACAATTCTACGGTGGTGTGGTTGATTCGCAACCAGGGAGCGACCAGGTCCAAGCAGTTGTTGGAGCAGACCTTCCTGTTGGCCAGTCTCCTGGACAACAATGGCATCAGAGCCAGAGCCCGGCACATCCCAGGGTGCAAGAACGTCCTAGCAGACGCTCTCTCAAGGCCAGGCAATCCGTCGCCAGCAGAGTGGATGCTACATCCAGAAGCTTTCAACTTTCTATGTCACAGTCACGGCTGTCCTCTGATCGATCTGTTTGCGACTCGGTTCAACAAACAGCTTCCGTTGTACGTGTCTCCAATTCCATATCCGGCGGCATGGGCAGTCGACGCCATGTCCTTGTCGTGGGAGGGTCTGGATGCATACACCAATAAGGAGCAATCAATCAACATATTGGCAGTTATTCCTTTGAAGGAAGGACATTGTTTTACACAGTCCCTTTACGAAAGGGTGTATTCAGTATAGATAAGTAAATCTACATGCATAAAAACTACCTTTTGACAAATCCGCTGTGCAAGATAAAAGTAATTAATCAATCAGCGTGTTATCGGTTAATCCTTTGATTGATGTTTGTTTTTGTAACTCAGCTGATAATTCCTCTTGCATAACATGTAATACATTTGTCACGTCAGACCTTAATTTGTAATGTTGAGTATTTACTCCAGACACGAGAAATGCCAAATGGGAACCTTTGTCAGGTAATCTGAGTGGTGTTACCACTTTATACCTGTTGTAAATTCATTAACTGACCATGAAGTGAATGATGACAAATATCATTATAACAGGTTTATTCCACCAAACACAGGTTACAGAATCAGTGCCCCTTTAACAAAAAATCTCCAATTTGTTTGAAACTACTTTGATTGTGTTACTTCCCTTTGTTACATCATGTGAGAGTTATCTCCCTTTCCTTCCAGCAATGGTGAGAAGGAGATGAAATCAGTGTCAAGCCAGACAGAAGGAACTATCACAATCATCACCGTGGGCAACCCTCCGAATGCAACCCATCCTAGCGGCACAGTGTCCGTCAAGACAACTACGCTGCCGTCCAGCAACATGGCGAGTCAGCAATCCTTGGCAAAGTCATCCAGGTGAGCAACAGGGGGGGGGTTTCAAATGATTCAGGAATCCTGCTTTGTCAATGTCATTGCCGTCATAACTACTTTCAGTGAATCATATTCATGACAATTGATGCAGTATTTGTATCAATCTTAACAAATGTGAACCCGTGAAGGTCCGGGTTAGAATTGATCTTCAGCAACCCACGCTTGTCGTAAGAGGCTACTAATGGGAACGGTGGTCAGGCTCACTGACTGGGTTGACACATGTCATCGGTTCCCAATTGAAGTAGATCGATGTTCATGATCTTGATCCCTGGATTGTGTGGTAAAGACTCGATTATTTACAGACTGCCGCAATATAGCTGGAATATTGCTGAGTGTGGCATAAAGCTAAACTTACTCACTCACCCTTTTCCTTCGAATAGTACATGGAAACTTGAGTCCCTTTGCTCCCTGAAGCAACTCACTTAACAAATGTGATCACTATATCTGATCCAATACCCCAGAAGATCAGACAACAACTTCACTGAAGGTGAGTGAGTTTAGTTTTACGCCGCACTCAGCAATATTCACTGATGGTCACATCAGGTGAACACTGAATGAACTTTGACTGGCCAGTGTGGTTATTGATATCAGCTTTATTTCCTCGGATCTGGAATTTCTGATTTTTAACAAACGAAAACCCATTCAGAATACAAATATTCAGTCAGTGGTGTTCCCTTTAGGTTGTAGAAGCCGTAGCTCTCTAAAACAGCAGGCTGTACCACATACCCACAACAACAAACCTTTCACTTACATGAAGAATTCTGATCGCTGCTCATGCTGTTGATCCATGGATTGTCTGGTCCAAACTCGATTATTCACAGACTGCTACCATATAGCTGGAATATTGCTGAGTGCGGCGTAAAATTAAACTCACTCACTCACTCACTGTCCATGTTTCCAGGGCCAGCAGTTCCAACATGGCTGTTGGGAGTGACCGTGCAGGGAGCCCTACGTCCACTCTTGTATCTGAAAGACTGTCCGCCAACAGCGCCTCCACACTGACCGGACAGAACCAATCTGTGAGTGTCTTGTCTTTTTATACACACCCAGTCTCATTCAAATCAGAATTTTGACTCTGATTTGAAACCCCTCTGAGATTTGATACCTTTCTGTGTGCCAGAATTGATCTGAAAATCTGCCAATATCAGCCATTCAGCATGGAGGCTTATACATTCTCATTGCATTTGAGTAGCATTTGACTTCGCTTTCTTGAAACAAACAGAAACAGTAAGTTCCAAATGGAAAAAATAAAGGCCACATTATGTTGTGGATATTTTACTCCCTAATAAAGTAGATTTTAAGGAGGTTTTCTGTATACCCTGCATGTATATACCTCAGTCTTTACTGGAATCATTTTATGAACATTTACAATTCTAACCTTGTTTTCAATTATCATGAAATGCCTAATTAGACACAGAAAAGATACATTCATAAATACTGATCTAGGCTTCTGGTATTTGTGAACCAAAAATTAATATGCTTTTGCAGTGTTATACATTGCTGATAATGATGTTGAAGTTTGGCCCTTTTAGTATTCCCATGGCTCACAAAAAAACAAGTATCATGAGCCAACAGCTCTTGAAGAAAAAACAAAATTTAACGGCCTGCAACATGATATACAATTATTAGGCCAAACCAATTTTGTTTCGTGTTTTACGGATCCACCGGTCATATTTTTTCAAGAATAAGAAAAAATAGAAATCAATTTTCCCCGCTCAAAAAGAAAATCCTTATGTTTGCCCCATATACACTTCATAAAATGCCAAAAGTAAAATAATTTTATTATTTAGAAGGAATATTATTTTGATTTTTTTATTATTATTTTTTCCTGCTTTAAGGTTTTCTGAGGACAAAAATCTGTAAAGCAAGAAATAAAATTGGTCTGGCCTTATTTATTATTATAATTTCAGGCATGGAGTAGTATCAGGATACTTGATTATGTTTTGTACAGGACAGTGCTACGGGTGAAACAGTATGCCGCGGTATTAGTAGAACCTCGGTATACCACAATACGTACCATGCCGTGGTAAGAGCATACCGTTTCACCCCTAGATAGTGGTCTTGTTACACAAGTTGAAGGATGATATCGTTGTTTCAGTTTGAACCTACACATGATGGTGTGCAGCATTTCTGTGAAAAACACCTGAGTAAAATCAAGAACTTCATTAGCAGCCTGAAAGCCAGAATTCCCCTGCCAACAAAGTGCAGTGTTGTCAGTAAGTGTGGAGGATGTCCGATATCCCCCTTGAAACTTTAAATGAATTAGGTTACAGATACATTCTCAAAACAGTGTGTATACTTTTGAATAGGAAATAAACGAACCTTAGTATTACAGAAGCTCACCTGTCCAAGGGATTTTAAAGATATTTTGCCTTATCCTGACTCATGCTAAATGCTTGTCTCCCTTTCCCATTTCCTTCGATTGTAAGAGGCGTCTAACGGCATCGGATGGTCAGGCTCGCTGGCTTGGTTGACACATGTCATCGGTTCCCATTTGTGCAGATCGATGCTTATGTTGTTGATCACTGGATTGTCTGGTCCAGACTCGATTATTAACAGACCGCCACCATATAGCTGGAATATTGCTGAGTGCAGCGTAAAACTAAACCCACTCAGTCACTCACCCTTTTCCTTGGAAGGGTATATGGAAACTTGAATCCCTTTTTCCCTGAAGCAACCGTAAAATCACTCACCGAGTTGGGTTGCCTCCCTTCACCTTTCCCGCCACTGCGTTCCACGTGACCAACACAGAGGCATGCCCTTGTCACTCTCTCCTGAATTCCAGCCCGCACTCCAACCTACAGGGAGATAAAAATTACATGTTTTTCGGTGTTATGAGAGCGGTTTGGGGCCAACTAGTTAAAGCACGAATGCCAGTGTTTCAGTTCTCTTCCCAATGTGTATATTGTGTACCAGCAGACACAGTATATGACAGGAACATTGCCAATTGTGGTGTTAAGCCATAACCATTCTCTCTATTTTGAATACAAGTGGGTAGATCTTGAATTTCTTGCTTTAAGCATGTTATGAGTCAGCTCCTACATTCTTTGTCAAATACTGAAGTTATGACTTTTCAGATCTGTGTATTTTCTGGGATGTTGATCATCTTTTGTAAACAATGTCCAAATGGTATTTTTCTAATTTGGTAAGGACAAATTAGGGCTGGGACGATACACTGTCACAATATGATACGTATCACGATATTTTACCTGCGATACGATATGTATCACGATGCATACACCTTGAAAGAATGACACAGTATTAAGATTTATAATGATTTATTTAAAAGGTATTTGTGTATAACAAAAACACTATTGTAATAAACAAACAAGTAACTCTATCATACTTGCTTTTTTTTTATCTAAATAAGTACTTTGACATGTTTAAGATAATACTCTTTTGAAAAAAAGTCTGTATCGTTTTGTATCGATACACCAGTCGACGATACGATAGCCGTATCAAACTTAAATGTATCGTGATGTATCGGTGAATCGTCCCAGCCCAAAAGGACATTGGGGAAGTTTGTAGTGAAAGTTGATAATATCATGCAAGTTTCTGAAATCTATTTGTCTGTGACTGCATGGTGTTTATTATGTATCCAGATGGTCGGCGGCGGTACCTGCGTCTCCACTTCCAGTGCTGTAGTCAGTCGGAACAGTGCCTCTATTTCAACAGCTACTTCACCCTCAACACACGCCTGCCCAAAACATGGATACACCTCATGTTTTTATCTGTACAGGTAAGTTCATGACCTGTATCCAATTTTGCAATAACTTCTTAAAGAATATTGCTATAGGGCTGTTCGAAAAACAAACAAATGTCAGCAAGCCAGTATTTTTTATGTCATGGCATCATAATGTTAAAGGTAAATTAATTACTGGGTCTGATGGTATTTTGGGTTTCCAGTTAGGTTTCAAGGTGTCCAGTTGATAGATGCTGGTTTCACGCACACAACTATGTCATGCATAAAAGTTCTTTGTAACTTGTTAACTCGTAGTGGTATCCATAAGAAAGAGGTGAAAGTGCCATGATCAGAGACCGATCATAATTTATGGCTAGTGTGGGTGATGATGTGGGGTTTTTTTTGGTTTTGGGGTTGTTGTTTTATTGGGGTGGGGTGGGGTGGGGTGGGGGTTGTTTGATTTTGTACATGGCGTGTGTGTGTGTGTGTGTGTGTGTGTGTGTGTGTGTCAGTGTGTCAGTGTGTCAGTGTCACTTTGTACTTAAATACCAGGGGGTCAGTCACATTCTACATCAAAAATCATCATCATCCCCCTAGCCATAAATTATCAACGCTCCCTTATCATAACAGGTCATTCATTGAATCAGGTGGTTGGTGAGGTTTGCTGATGTTGTTGATGCATGTCATGGTAGCCCTATTGTTCAGATCAATGCATATAATGTCAGTTGCTGGACTGATCTGCTTCTGACTCAGATTCATGCAAACTTGTGTTGGAAATTGGTTAAAATCTCACAACTAATGATTGGTTCATTACAACCGATCAGTCAGCGAAAATAATTGGTTAGGGCCATTTATCAAAACCTCCTGGTTATGTTTGTTAATGCACAAAAAATATTGAAAAAATATGTAGTTCTTTCGTGGGGGGGTGCAAATTTCACAAAATGCATTTACAAATTTCACATCTACGGATGACTATTATATGGATATTTATATAGCGATATAATCCATCCCACATGCATGCTCAAAGCGCTTCTTTGTTTTTACCTCAATCAATTGGATGTCAATTCAGCAGCACATCATATTATCAATCTCAACTAACTGGGGAGCACACAACTCTTGCTGCCACTAGGCGCACCGACTTAATGCAACTTTCTCATCCTTTCAAGGTACCCAATCACAGCTTGGTGGACCGGGACACTTAGTCACAGTACTTTGTCCAAGTTTACTGCATGTTGTGTAATGTACACTAAGGGTTGTGACAACACTGAAAGAGTCTGCACACAAAGTTGACTCCAAGGTTATTGCACCTGGTCACAGGTGGGCTCGATGCCCGCACCACCAAGCTCGCATGGATTACTAGCCTGGCGCCTTAGACATAAATTTCATGACAAGGAACGAGCTTGTAGTGCTTATGAAATGTAACAGACAAAACCAAACTTGTGAAATTTTTTGTAAATGCTAACAAGTGTTCCAAAATTGTTTGTGTTTGATTACGAGAAAACATGAACGATTGTACAGTTGTTTAGTCATTGCGACCAATCTTTGATTATTTCAATTAATTGGACCACCACTAATACAAACCACAGTGATAAAGACAGAATATTAAGTCAACATTCTTCAATGGATTGTTGTGTTAATGATGAAAATTTCAAGTGTGCATCATATGGGGTGGTGGGTAGCCTAGCGGTTGAGGCGTTTGCTCATCCCGCCATGGAACTGGGTTTGATTCCCCACATGGGCTCAATGCATGAAGCCCATTTCTGGTCCCCAGGGTGATATTGCCCGGAATATTACTAAAAGTGGCACAAACTAAACTCACCCACTGCCACATCGTACTAACGGGATCAGGTGGTCAGGCCCGCTGACTTGGTTGACACATGTCATCATGTCCCAATTGCGAGGCTCATGCTGTTAATCACTGGATTGTCTGGTCCAGACTCGATTATTTACAGACCGCTGCCATATAGCTGGAATATTGCTGAGTGCGGGCGTAAAACTAAACTCACTGCCACATCATACTTTTAACCTCCCTTCCCATTAGAACTTGTTTTTGATATTTATGTCAATACAGACTGACCAGTGAGTAATGTAGCAGATTTTGATTTGTCATGTCTTATTGCCAGCCTCCATGTGTATATGTACCTTAGGCACAGTCGTCGTCAGCTCTGAGTCAGCGAGACACCAACGTGAGCGACCTGAAGCGCTGCTGGGATGCACTGAAGGGGGAGCGGGGCAACAGCAGCTTCCTGACACTCATGACCTCCACCTTCCCTGCACAGAAGGTGAGCTACAGAACAACATTGTTATATGAAACTGACAGTGTTTACAGTGTAATGGACTGATCTGGCACCCCCCTCTGGATCCATCACTGATGATCAAATAAAGTTGATGAGATGAACATGGTATCATGATCAAATAAAGTTTATGGGATAAACATGGTATCATGATCAAATATGTTGAGATAAACATGGTAACATGATCAAATAATGTTGAAATAAACATGGTATATTGATCAAATAATGTTGAGATAAACATGGTATCATGATCAACTAATGTATCATGATCAAATAATGTTGATGAGATAAACATGGTATCATGATCTAATAAAGTTGATGAGAAAAAACAAACAAATCAGGTCATATAGATGGTCCACCACCAGAATGCACATGTGCACGTGGACACACATGTACATGCACACGAATGCATGCACACATCCACAAAAAATCATTGGTAATCTTTAAACTGTATGACTGACAATTTGGATCATTACTTCATTCTCTGTAATTCTAATTAGAATTTCCATGTGTTTTTCAATGTTGTTTAGGATCAAGATACACTGCTACACGAACTCCACGATGAGCGTTACTCCGATGTGTTTGAGTTGAGCGTAAGCCAAGAGAACTGGGCGTGCTTCATGTGCAACCATCCAGAGAAAGTGTCAGGCTTACTACAGGATGGTCTTCCTGTCATAGCGGTAAGTCATGTTTGCTCTCCTACCCAGTGTCCCAGCCAGCAATGTACTACCTTCCAGAAGACAGACAGATGTACCCGTGAAGGTCCTGGTTAGAATGAACCTTCAGTAACCCATGCTTGTCGTAAGAGGCGACTTATGGGATTTGGTGATCAGGCTCACTTGCTTGGTTGAAACATGTCATCGGTTCCCAATTGCGCAGATCGATGCTCATGCTGTTGATCACTGGATTGTCTGGTCCAGACTTGATTATTTAAAGACCGCCGCCATATAGCTGGAATATTGCCGAGTGTGGCGTAAAACTAAACTCACTCACTCACTCAGACAGATGTGACAATGATCACATCTTATATATTCATAAAACAGTTACTGTGTGATCCACTTCAGACCCTGTGTGGTTTCTGGATTAGAATCAGTCTCCAGAAGAGTTTGATTGAATGTCATTGTGACCTGATGTCATGGATCCATTGTTCATGTTATCAGTCACTGGATTGTTTACCCAATGCTGTCCTACAGCTTAGTGGTGGTCAGATTAATTGAAATAATTGAAGATTGGTCAAACGACCAAGCAATCGATCATGCTTTCTCATAATCAAACACAAACAATTTTGTAACACTTGTTTACATTGACAACATTTTCCACAAGGTTGGTTTTGTATGTGTCACTAAATTTACATTTCATAAGAACTACAAGCTCGTTTCAAGTCATGATTGAATTTATCTTAAAAACTCCAGGAACTTTATGTTCCTAAAATACTAATCCTTTAAAGATGTGAAATTTGTAATTGCATTTTGTGCAAAATGCAAAAAATAACCAACTACTTTTGTGCATTAACAAACATAACAGGAAAAATTGATAAATGACGCTAACCAATTATTTTCAATGATTGATCGGTTGCAATGAACCAATCATCAATTATGAGATTTTAACCAATTCCCAACACTACTACAGCTGTAATATTGCTGAGTGGTGCGTTTCACAACAAACAAACATAGTAACAAACAAACATCCTTTTCAATTCTTAAAAGTGTGCAAATTTCGAATGAGTTTAACAAGAAATAGATGAATTCCCTTAAAAAGAATCATGAAATAAAAAAAAAATTACTTTCATTTTGTTAAGTCCTTTGTACGACAGTGGTTGTATGTTTCCAGGTAGGGAAGTTTACAATATAGTCTTTGTGATGCTGTTGCTGTGCAAAGATTGATTCTCCTGTCATAGCAGTATGTCATGTTGTCGAAAGATGTCCATATTATGACAGCAAACAATCTATAAATCACACTGAAAGACCTTCAGTTCCTTTGGCCCAGACTGCTATGATTTCAGTAGTGTGTTTGTTTGGAACCAGAAAAGTCAGTCCATGTGATATGTTGTGGCAGTTGTGTTCAGCTGGTTTAATGCTAAGACATTTTTGTGCTAGGTGGATGCATTGAAATGTCTTCTGTTATATCTAAAACTCAGATGTTGTAAATGAATTAGAAATTCTAAAACCTTTGTCAGGGTCAGCTGAAAGAGAAGAAGGGTCGCTGGAAGTTCCTGAAACGCTGGAAGACACGCTACTTTACCCTCTCCGGTGGCAACTTCACCTACAGCAAGAGTGATTCAGTGAGTAACACTTACAGTGTAATGTGTATTGTAGAAATAACAGGCCATTGTCATTTAAACACTGGATTGTCTGGTCCCATCCTCGATAATCTCCAGGGTATACGTTCCGATAAATCTCCACTATACCCTGGATGCATCTACGGCTTGGCCCCATGATTTTATTACCTCCCTTGGCTGGCTTTTTATCCAAACAGGTGTCTATGCTGGGAAGTTGAGCGTAGCAATCACAACTCACTTTCGCTTCTTTTATCTAGCCGATTAAACTTGGCGACTCTGAAAGAGGTAGAAAGAGTTCTTGCATATATTTTTTAAGCTTTCAGACCTGTCAATTTGTGTGTATGATTTCCCCCCAAATCAGAGTCGCACTGCGAACAAACCTTTGCTGCTGCGACCGCTATCTTTGTTGACACTGGCAAGCTTGGTTGTAACGGCAACTTAGCTGATTGGCTATTGTGAGAATGCAGAGCCAGCAAAGGGAGGTAATAAAATTATCGGGCTAAGCCATAGATGCATCCAGGGTACTTGTGGAGATTTATCGTAATGTATACCCTGGAGATTATTGAGGATGGTCTGGTCCAGACTCTATTATTTACAGGTTGCCATCGCATAGATGGAATATGGCTGAATGTGGTATTACGCCAAACACAGGCATGCACACATGTACGCACACACGCCATGGTCAAGCTTTTGATTTCTCCATTCCACATGAAGCCCTACATATTTCAGGTTTTGGGTTGTGAAAGTGATTAAAGTCAAAGGTCAAATCTAAATGTTTTGTACATGATGCAAAGTACAGATTAAATTTTTCTGCATTTGTTTAAATGTTTTGGATGTTTTTTCAATTGTTCATCTGTATTTTCTTACAGTGTAAAGAGATGTTACCTGTGAGCAAGATTCAGAGCGTGAAAGCAGTCCGGAAAGGAATCCGGGACATTCCTCGTGCATTTGAGATCTTCACTGCAGATCAGACCTATGTGTTCAAGGCCAAAGGGCAGCAGAATGTGGAACAGTGGGTGCAGTGTCTCCACATCGCCGTGGCCCGGACTCAGAATAAGGACATTCGACCACGTTCTGTCATGAGTGATACAAAGCTGTAGGAGCGTTGTGGTCCAGAATATGAAGATAATCAACTGAATCGCCATCATGCCCTAATATGTAGATGCCTTCTCGTTGTGATTTATGATGTAGTTCATATGTAAATTATTTTGATGACATCTGAGAGCTGCTGGGCCATGTTTCTCAAGGTGATGTTGAGACTGTGATTGTCCATTGCTTTTCTTCAGACCTGGGACCTCTTTATATACTGATCCTGTTTTTATTGCTATGCTTTAACATAAACTTACAACAGTCTGTGACTATCTTTTCCTCTACACTCTACACTCGACAATCTTTTCATCCATATTTTAAAATAAACTTACAGTAGTCATGGCAATATGACCATCAACACTTTGTAAGGATGGGAAAGCCGCAATAACTCGGTGCGCCTAGTGGCAGCAAGAATTGTATGATCCACAGGGAGTTGAGATTGATAATAAGATGTGCCGTTGAGATTGACATCCAATTATTGAGGAAAAAAATACCAGCGCCTTGAGAATGCACTAGTGCGTGGAAATGTGCGCTATATAAATATCCCATACTACTTTAATGTAAACTTACATCAGTCATAGCTTTGTGTTGGGCTTACACAAACACATTGACACATGTCTTTATAATGAAATGGATCCATCTCATTGTAATTTAAGGTTTGTTATGGTTCATGATATCTTGTTTGGAAAGATATGTTGGTGATCAAATCTTAGCATTGAGGGAGGTAACCCAAGTGCAAGCCACTCATGGGGAAATGTTTTCCCACCTTGTGGTGGAACATGGAAAATGTATGCTTTCTTTTTCTGGTTGTTTGAATATTGTAAACAGGGTACACAGTGGCTCCTGAGCATATGACACTTCTCTTCAGTCACTCCCCACTTGATGTTTTATAAGTTTGGTGAAATGTGTTTAGGTAAATGGGTAGGGTGAAATGGGGTTACATGAAATGTGTTTAGGTAAAATTGAGTTTGGTTAATTTGGAAATGTTAAGTTAAATTGGGTTCAGGTGAAATTGGGTTCAGGTGAAGTCGGGTTTGGTGAAATGGGTTTAGGGAAAATTGAGTGTGGTGAATTGAGAAATTGGTTCAGGTAAAATAGGGGTTAAGTGATATTGGGTTCAGGTGAAATGGGTAAGATGAAATAGGGTTTGGTGAAATGGGTTTAGGTGAAATGGGGTAAGGTAAAATTGGGTCAGGTGAAATGGTCTTTGGTAAAATGGGTTTGGGTGAAATGTGTTTAGGTGAAAAGGGGTTTGGTAAAATGGTGTTAGTTAAAATGGGGTTTGGTGAAATGGGATTAGGTGAAATGAGGTTTGGTGAAATGGGGTTTTAAAACGAGCCCTGGAGTCTTAACCAACCTTACTTTCCTTCCCCACATACGTCAAGCACAAGGTATGGTAAAACAAATATCATCTTTCACCATCATGGCCATCGTGACCCTGTGGTTTGCCTGAACACTGCTGTGTTATAATATCAACATGAAAAGCACTGACATACATGCAAGCTTACTAGCTCACTAAACTCAAATTTGTATCATACATGAATGTATGGCAGTGTAATCCCAGTATTTATTACTATTGAAAAGTAATGAATAGTTTGTAAAGAACTGATTAGAAGTACAAATGAAGTGTTTAAGTACTTGTATCTGTGAGGAGTTGTATGTGAGATATTATCTGTATATTATCAGTATAAGCATGTAGAGGTAACCCATTTAGTAGAACTGTCTCAACTGACTGATGGTAGTCCCAGATTCTAGTGTTTCTGATAAGTCTGCATTCTTTTCCTGATTTCGAAACAAAATCAGTAAGAAAACTTGTCACAGGCATTTGAAAAGTGGCACCTTCTTATTTCTAAGAAAAATCACATTGCTCCATGGCAAGCAGAATTTATATTATCCCTCAAAGAAAAATTGCTTTGCTAATGACAACTGAAAGGGCTGGAGGTACAGAGAAAGCAACAAGTCCAGTAAGCAGTTTGGGCAACTTTTCAGAGACTGTCATCCAGTGATGCTTTTGTGGATGCACCTGTCAAGAGGGTTGGTTTTGTTTGCCAATTCCTGTTTATTACACTTAAGTTAAATCTTTGAAGGGCATTTAGACGAGGAGTGCATAAGAAAAGCTAGATTTTATTATGCGTAACTTGAAAAGGTTTCCTGGTAGTTCAGTTTGTCCTAAAGCATTTGGTTTCCATGGTAATCATGGTTTTAAAGCTGAGTACTATCAGAAGTTATCAACTTAAGACAACTTTTCTTTATTTTTTCGTGAATATTGATGTAGACTTTGTACAAGGGTATATTGTGGATTGTATACATGGTGTATATTGCTCCATAGGATAATGTTAGTAGTCTTTTCTAGATAATTCTTTTTATGAGTATTTTCATATGACTGCACCAAAGGTATGTTAACTTACGATTCTTATTTAATCCTGACTTATATTGGGTTAGTGGCAAGAACATACAAAGAGATCCTGTATGTAGAGATTTGTATGTAGATTTCTGTATGTTAAAGATCTTGTGAGTAGAGGTTTCTGTACAGAGCCTCAGAGGAAATCGTGTGTAGAGATCCTGTATTTGACTCTCTTGTGTGAAGAGATCTTGAAGGTAGAGATCTGTATGTTACAGATCTTGTAAGTAGAGATTATATGTTTAGAGATCCTGTATGTTAGCAATATTATTTTTATGGAGATCCTGTGTGAAGAGATCCTGCATGCAGAGATCCTGTGTGAAGAGATCCTGCATGCAGAGATCCTATGTACAGGAATCCTTTATATTTTGCTACATTTGGAGATGCTGCATTTAGATATCCTGTATGCAGAAATGCTGTGTACAGAGATCCTTTCTGTTTTGCTACATGTAGAGATCCTGCATTTAGATATCCTGCAAGCAGAGATCATACGTACAGAGACCCTTTATGTTTTGCAACAAGTGGAGATCCTGCATTTAAATATTCTGTTTGCAGAAATCCTATGTACAGAGATCCTTAATGTTTTGCTACATGTGGAGATCCTGCATTTTGATTTCCTGCAAGCAGAGATCCTATGTGCAGAGATCCTTTATGTTTTGCAACAAGTGGGGATCCTGTGTTACAGATCCTGTATGACATAACCTGAAGAGCTAAATACTTGATAATTGTTGATATTGTGAGACGGAGATCTACTATAATCAAGAACAATTTGACTATTTGAATCATTTGATGGTTTGGGGTATAGATTAGTCGATATTGTAGAAACACAAGTACAAAATATACCAGAATCCATTGTCGCAATGTGTATATGTTTCGCATGACATTCTCATTCTTAGATTTCACACTAATCCTGCTGATTTGCTGTCTCGTATTTCAGTGGAAGGGTCACGTTTCAAATGTCCAATCTTGCTATAAAAATAGGTTTTAGTTGAGTAATTTACTAAAATTATTTTTATATTATCAATTCTAGACACTGTTGGGTGGGGGATTTTGTGTTAAAAATTTGAATTTGAAAATGGAATGAAGCCTTTGGCTTGAGAGATATTTTTGTTGTTGAGTACGATCTTTTCATAAAACGGACACTGGTTCTATACCCAGTTTCCTGTGGCCTGAGTAGATTGTCATTGAGTAGAATGTGAATTGTTTAATAAGGTGCATATAACAGGGTGTTTCTGTATCTGTAGAGAATACATCCTCTATGTTACAGAGGTTGAACAAAATCAAGTCAGTAAAATTCTCCGTGCAGAACTGTTCAACAGGGTCATTCACAGTAGAACCTGTGTGGAGCTTCTTGTGTTCTAATTTCATGATGGTTGTTTCAGATCATTGACACAGTTCAAACTTTGAATCTCGGTGTATATTTTATGTTCTCTGGTTGTGAATCTTCTGTTAATGTTGTTAATTTTTTGTTTTCTTTTATTCTAACTCGTGAGGTTAATAGGGCAGTTGTGAATATGTTACAGCCCTTATTGAAGATATATTGTGTCAGTTCACATGCTTGTGTTAACTGTCCTCACTTAGGGCTGATAATGGTTATTACATGGAACTCGTTATGAATATGTAACTGAACATTTGATTGGATGATTGAACCAGAAGGCTTTAGTGCAGGTAAATTGTGACTTTTCGCTTATTAATAGGGACCAGACAACTTTTCGGTCGGAGCAAGACCTGGCCTTCTGTCTCCTGCTTGTTCTGACCCATGAAGATCGGAGTTAGAATATATCTTCATCAACCCGTGCTTTTCTTTAATATGAGGTGACTAACAGGATCGGGTGGTCAGGCTTTTCTTATCGATGCTCATGATGGAGATCACTGGATTGTCTGGTCCAGACTCAATTATTTACAGACCGCCAGCATTTACCTGGAATAGTGCTGTGCAGCATTGAAAAATAAAGAAACAAAACAACCTCTAGCACATGAAGAAATTAAGAGAATAACTTTTCAATATTAGGTTGTCAGTTGCATGATTTAAAAATGGCCAAAAAGGTAGGACCTCCCTGGAAATTGATTTATTAAATTTGCCATGGACATAACAGGTTAGACTTGACCTGTAAAGATCCGGGTTAGAATTGATCTTCAGTAACTCAAGCTTGTCATAAGAGGCGACTACAGGATCGGATGGGAAGGTTTGCTGACTTGGTTGACACGTATCCCAGTTGCGTAGATCAATGCTCATGCTGTTGATCACCAGATTGTCTCTTCCAGATTTGATTATTTACAGACGGCCAGCATTGACCTGGAATATTGCTGAGTGCGGCATAAAACTAAACTCACTCACTCCAGGTTAGACTTATGCTGGTCGTGAAAGGCCGAATTGATTGGGTGGTCAGACAAGGTGATTGTTCATTTTGGCCATTGTTTCCTGAAAATGCTCACAGGGGATCATGTCTGTACAGATCCTGTATCTGACACTCTTGTGTGAAGAAATCTTGTATGTAGAGATCTGCATGCTAAGTGGATCCTGTGTGTATGGATCATTCATGCACAGATCCTTTATGGGAGATCCTGCATGCAGAGATCCTTTGTTTTGCTACAGGTGGAGATCCTTTATGCAGAGATCCTTTATGTTTTGCTACAAGTAAAGATCCTGTGTGTAGAGATCCTGCATGCAGAAATCCTTTGTTTTGCTACAAGTAGACAACCTATGTGCAGAGATCCTTTATGTTTTGCATCAAGTAGAGATCCTTTCGGCAGAGATCCTTTGTTCTTTGGTCAGCAAAGTCCATTTCCTTGCCAAAAGGCTTCTGGTTCAGGAATGATGGAATGATATCTTGAACTTTATTTTACATACATGATTCCATTTACTGCCTTTACATCAGCTTTGTGCTTGTGCAGATTGTGTGATAACATATTGATTTATTTTTTCTTGACTTGCGCTCAAATCTTTGTCAGGTCTTGTGACATATCACCATGGTAACATTATCACTGTATATCATGTATTTGTGTACATTTCGTTTGTTGTTGCCATGGGTTCATACGTGAGATGAAATCAGAAATCACCTTGGTAACATTAGCATTTATGTCATGTATTTGTGTACATTTCGTTTGTTGTTGCCATGGATTCATATGTGAGATGAAATCAGAAATCACCATGGTAACATTATCATTTATATCATGTATTTGTGTACATTTCATT